AATTTAAATTTATATTTCAGTATTTGTATTGTTTTTTGTCTGATGGTTTTTATAAATTTCAAGCTTTTTTAGAAACCAGTAATTTTTATTACACTGTTAAATTTGAATTAAATGTTACGTAACCTTTGGTTTTGAGCCAAAGTTTTTCGCTATTAAAAGTGTTTGTAAGAGTAATCGTAGAAAAAGTTTAAAAAGGTTTATCAAAAAATATATATACATTTTTTAGAATATTATACATTATTACTTATATAAATGTCATATTTATATGAAAGTAATTAAAATATTCTTTGATAATAAAATGGGTTTATTGCAAACAATCATTAAAATTATTTTGTTAATGTTAACTGGCATGGTCAAGATAAAAAAAAAAAAATTTAAGTGTGGTTTTAAATGGGGTTCGATTTTAAGTATGTATATATATACATACTTTAAATATCACTGAAAAACTGACTTTATTCAAATATATCATTAATATACACCAATAAGTTGAAGTTTATAATACGTTGAGGTTTGTAATACTTTAAAATTAAAAAATGGTAACACTGCGCTGCGACCATGTTTTTGTTTTGATTTCCTTAAAATACAACTTTGCCGCCAAGTTATTGTAACCAAGTACGATTTTATTTTTTATTTTTTGAAGAATAACACAAAATTAAAAATCAACGATTTTATTTTTATTATGTAATGTAATTTATCTTATTATTTGTATTAAATTATGTATTAAAAAAAAAATTGAAAAAAATTTTTTATCTCAAAAAATGAGAAATTGTTTTTATAGATAGTTTACACTTTTGTTTAATTCTGCATTTTAACTAGCATTTTTGCAAAGAGCGCTCATACCTTGAATATAAAAAGTTTTTGTAATTTAGTTGTTACTTAATTAAAAAGTTTTTGATATTTTTCTGTTTATTTAGTGTTTTTTTTCAGAATGTCAAAAAAAGTAAAAATTGCTAAAAGGCTTGGATTAAAAAGTGCTAAAAGGCCCATATTTAAATAAAAAAGTGAAAAGCCTATGCGAAAATCCCGCATGGCCTCTGGGGCCACCACGCCCCTGTTCAGAGAAGATTTTAAAGTTATCACTACATTAGAAAAAAGATTTTGTCACCATTCTGTTAAATAAATATTTTTTGATATTTTTTTAAAAATCACAAATGATAATTCATTAAATTAATTTAGGGAAAGTATTTTCAAAGATAATCAGGGTTGCAAAAAAAACGGATTTTGAAAAAAGCCAAAAACCATAGGTTTTTTTAAAAAAACCATGGTTTTTTTGGTTTAAATTGGTTTAAAGGTTTTTACTAAAAAAGGCGATATTTAGTTATCCTTTTAAATTAAAAAAAGCATAACATTTTATTTGAGTAAACTATATTCTTTATCAATATTACTGTTATATTTCATCAAAATTATTCAATGTATCATTGTTTAATGTTCTATATATAAATACAAGCTTTGCTGCTTTTTCTACCCCCAATTGGTTTCTTAACTTAGAATGAACAAGACCAAAAGTTGAAAAAATTCTCTTGATTCCAGCACCAAACGCTGGTGCATTTAATAAACCTTCAATATCCATTATGTTATAATTCACAATTTTTAGAGATTTCCACCATTCTATTGATGATACATTTTTAAAACAAATTCACTATATAATATATCAAATGGAGTAGATTTGGCTTTTAATTTGAATATTATTGGTAACAAATTCTTGAACTCTTTATCTGCAAAATTCATGGCAGCTTCATTTTCATTTTCAGAAAGATTAGATCCAAAATATCTAGGATCTAGTGTGTTTGCCAGGAAATGAGCATCACTGACAGTCTGAAGGTATCTAGATTCATATATATATCGTTAAGAAAACTTTTTGATGAAATAAGTTCATCAGGAAGTAATACTTCTTGATAAACCTATTGAAGAAGAAACAGCCTGTAGGAGAAAACAGATAAATAAGTGTTATTACTAATTTATTACTGCTCTGTTTTATGAGAATACTGATGACTCTATTCTATGAAAAAACAAAAACCAAAATCATGGATTTAAAAAAATTTATTTATATTGAAGATTAGTTAGTTTTGTGAACATAACTCTGTTTTAGTTTCCTGTTGTAAGTTCTTTTTAAAAAAACATTAGTTTTTTTAAAAAGAATCTTTTTAAAAAAATATAAGTTTGGTTTAAACCAACATTTTTTTAATTTGTTTAAACCATGCTTGATCTTACTTAAAACCATGCAACCCTAAAGATAATGCTAGAAACTAGTATCAAAACTTGCTTAAAACCATGCAACCCTAAAGATAATGCTAGAAACTAGTATCATATCCTTCAAAACACAAAAGTAAGAGTGTGATATTTTATTTAATGAAGACCAAAAAATAATTGACAAAATAGACAAAAATATCAATAAATTTCTTCCAACAGAGAGTTTTGCAAAAATATAGCCTAGGAGTTTAAGCAAAAAGAGGGTTCTGCCACAAAAATCTCTAAGTTAAAGAGAATAGAGAATTTCAATTCAACAATTATGAAGACAAAGTAAAACAATCATTAATATAAAATGAATTAAAGTGACTACAATAGTGAATATTGATGAAATTATAAAAAAGCTTTCAATATTTTGCAGGCCTTTTGTAATTTCTGTTGGTATAGAGACAGGATTATTAGAAATATTTTAAGTTGTGGAAATCTTAATGAAATAAAACTTTTCTAGACAACAGTAGAAAAGAATAAAGAAAGATTTATATAAGTGAATAAGAAATAATTTGAACAAAGGAATCACCTTCCTAAAGTCATGATGGCCACTAAAGTTGCTAATTTAATTATATGAAATTTGTGCTCACACCATAGTATGTAACATTGGTTGTAATACGGGTTGCATCAGTATTTTAGAGGAACTTTTTTATTGGATTCTGTTAAAACTTCTTTGTAGAAAAACATTCTCAAGAACAATACATATTACAACCAACAAATGCAATCACTTAAATGGAAAGCAAAGGTCCATCAAAATCTATTAATACAAGATTCAAAGCTGCTTGGGCAATTCATTATGAAAATGTCAAAAAACTATGAATCAGTTGTCAATCTTTCTGTGTTGTGAAGCAATACCTGGCTAAATATATGTAGTTTTAGCCGCAAAGCATTGTGGGATGTCTTGTGGGACCATGTAATCATAAACAACACAACTCTTAGTGAAATATTTATAACTTTGGATTATTCTTACCAGAGGGCTTCCCATAAAAAAACTTATATTTTATAAATTAAAATAATTTTAAAACTATTTCATAATATTGCTTATATAACATTTATATATCATCTAACATTAATATGTTGACGCTGTTAAAACTTGATGTAAAAATTTAACATGTTTTGCATAAGTCGTTTTATTAATGTTATCACTGTATTCGTTTCATATTAGTTTAAAAATATACTCCATATTAGTTTAAATATATACCCCTTCATTAGATGCTAAATATATAGTTAAAAATACTGAGAGAAAAAGCAACAATTATAAATAAAAAATATCTTGTTTCAAGATATATCATTAAAATAAAATCAAGCATGAATTATGCAAGCTAATTTGTTTTTACATGTCTTGTTTCGTGGTGCCAGATCACAATTATAAAATCTTATATAATAAGATATTCTCATATAAACATAGTGTCTGATTAAACTTTCTTCTAAATGAAAAGCATGATCGATATCTTCATCATAAAGAAATATAAAATTGCAATTGTTTTTTATTACTTTAATAATTTCTTGTATAATATTTTTTTTAGTTAATAAAAGTTTCATTTGCGTTATAAAAACAGTTTCCATTTTGTAAAGTAGGTTTTGTAAAAAAGAATCAGAATTAAATAAGTTACTTTCACAGGGTGTCACACTTGAAAGAACTTGTACACATTTTTGATAGACTTGAATTTTCTTTATCAAATCATCTGCAATTAATTTCAAAACCTGTTTAATTGACTGTGAAACTGAATCAGTTGAAACATTTTGTATTGCATAAGGTTGTTGTTTCTTTTTAAATAATGCAGTTGGCTGTTTGAAAATCAATTGGTCATTTGCAAAAATTTGATTCTCAAATACTATCTTAGTAATTGCAGCCGTATGTTGGTAACTGCAGCTGAGAAATCTGATTCAGGGAGACAATTACTGTTAGAATTAGATTGGTCTATTGAAAGGAGTATTAAGACATTTTTATATGCTGATTTAAACTGCATTGCTGTTGGTCTGTCATTCCAGCCTCTTTTTCTTCATATTAATGCAAAAATTTTCTAAACAGTCCTGATTAAATTGAGCTGTGCAAACATAAAAAAAATCCTCATGAAGCAACTCATTTGCAAGACAAAGAATATTAGAAATAGTGATATCTAAACCACAATGCCTGGAAATATTTTTTGGCTGCGAGCACCAGAAAAATGCCAAACCTTAATCCAAACTCTTAAATCTTCAAGCTTTTGTATAAAACTACTATTTAGAGTTAAAGCAGAGCGTGTTGATTTATTTGCTTTTGATTACAAAAGTTCAAGATGTCAAATAAAATATCCATATTTTTAATAAAAAAGGCTGTTGACAAATTTTTAGTAGTCAACAACTTGACTACTAAAAATTTGTGTTGCCAATTTTACTCGCATGGCTAATAGTGATCCTGAATCTAAATGACGATCTGTCAACTTTGGCACAAGTCAGATAGTGTTAACCTTGTTTAAATTATAAAGTTCTTCCAGATGCTTCCACAATATTATTTTACCATCAGATAAAATGTCATGTTTTATTAAATTGTTTCTAACATTTGATAAAATTAAGTATATGTGTTATTTGGAGTTTTTAGTTGATTAGTAAGAAAATAAAATTTTATTAGTTTTTATAGTATCACTAAATAAGAATTACTTGAGTCAATTTATTATGTCAATCTCTTATAAATTTATAATATTTATATTGTTATATTTTTTATAAAGCTTATTTTTTTTTAAATTATTTTTTAATTTATAGTTTTATTTTTTTTTTATTTCAAGGTCATTCGTAAGACTGAAGCAGGCAATGCAGGGATATCAGATGTAAAAACATTGATAATAAAATGTGAAGATTTTCGCACTGTTCGATTTACATTTTTGAAATCAAAACCGAATGTTCACACATACCTTGAAACAAAGTTGCACACAATGGATGAGGTTTTTTCAAAAATTTTCTGTTTAAAAAACACATGAAATTTTTAATGATTTTCTTTAAATTATAAATAATTCAAGATTTAGCAAGTTTATTTTTATATTTTTTACTAGCATTTTTATTAATACATAAATAACATAGTAACACTCGATAAGTAACATAGTAACATAGTAATACATACTTCTATTATTAAATTATAAACTTTTTGGCCTACACAAAAAACTATGCACTAGAAATGTTTTTTCAAACAGGCAAGAAATATTTTTTCCCTCACCACTTTAATATAATCACATGCGTACATTAACTTATCATCAATTACATACATGACATTTACATGTACATGTATATTAGTTACATTTATGTCATTTGTTAAATTTGTTAAAGTTTTATTTTTTATAAAAGGTAAAGCAACTAGAAGATGATATTGAAAATTTCGTTGATCGAACTGCCAGCTTGACATGCAAAACAGATTTTACAAATGTTTTTCGCAAATTGTCTGTATCAAAAAAAGAAGAATTATTGCTATCAGATAATAAATTAAAAAGGTATTTTGCAGTGTGTATGTTTGTAGAAGTTTTTTTTAAGGGATTCCTAAGTTGAAAATTTTTTTATTCTTATAAATGCAAAAGAACATATAAAAATATTTGGTATATATTATTGTAATCAAGTTCTATGTAAAAAGAGTAAAATCGTTATATCCACTAACTCTGATTTTCTTTAAATTTTTATCAATCAAACTTTGAAAAATGCAAAATTCAAGCTCCTATCTAAACAAAGCGTTTCAAAAAATATAGCATTTTGAAATTCAAACTGAAATGCTTTATTTTAGCCGAACATTTTGTATTTTTTAATGAAACCTTTTATGAATAGTTTAAATTATAGTGGAAGAATATTTCTAAAAGTTGTGTAGAAAAGATAATATAAATTTAAACTTTTTAATGATCATTTTTTGATTTTATTATAGTCAAGACAAATTTACTGTTCTGCTACTATGGGTTGCTATATATAAGTTACTTTAATTCCCAGAGTTGCCCAACTCTTTGGATTATCATTCACTACTTACCTCTCATGGAAACAATTGTTTGCAAAGTTAGCATCTGCTAAGGCTTTCTCTTTATTGTGCTTGCCATTTTCCTACTCCTGACTTCTCTACCTCTCTAAATCTCTTATTTGTCCCTGTATGGAATGCTGTTGTCATATTTAGGCTGGTTCTGATAATGATGCTTTTTCTCTTTTAGACAAAGTCTAAAAATGCATTGCAAATGTAGTTAGACCTGTTTTATCTGCCAAACTTGATAAGTATTTCTTTCTCTTTTCTACAAATACCATCATGGTTGCTGCTCAAAAGAGCTATCACCTTTAGTTCTTAGAGTTTCTAGAAAATAAAGAATAGAGTTAATGAGCGAGAAAAGGGTTGACAGAAGACTTAAAAAGTTGTAGAATGTATGTCAGAAAAACTTAAAGGGTCGATGTGTGGGGAAAAACCAGAGATGAAAGTAAGATCAATTTTTTCAATGCAGTAGTTGTTTAGTGGTAGAGCGCTCGCTTCATAAGCGAGAGGCTTCGAGTTTGATCCCCACCCTGGTAGTACCGCGCTCAACTTGTTTCTCTGCGCAGCGGCCTTGTTCATCAAGGTTCGTGTTTCGGAGTTATAGAGTTGAGAGAAGGTTATAACCACAATTAAGTAGCCTCTTCGTCTGTAGTGGCCTTCTCGGCCTTGGGGAGGTGAAATAACAAAAAAAAAAAATTAAAAAAAAAAGATTAAGTCTAGAGACATCCAAAATAGTATTAAGTTTCATAATAAAACTGCCTTTTCAACTTGCTTTATCTTTCTCTTTCCAAGTGAAGGCTTTGAAAGTAGAGATGGCAACACTAAGTTTACACAAAGTACTGTTATGCAATAGTTTTCTTGATTCCATCAGTTTCTCTAACACACTTCATCTACAATAAATTTTGTCTCTGTCTCATTCTTTGGTTCATTACCTGATGCTGAGTTATGTCTGCATTGTGGACCTAGTACTATAAATTAGCCTTTACTGCAACCTTATTCGGGACTTTTCTTACAAAGAAAACACGCAGTCTTTGTGAAACCTGAATAAAATTTATTCAGGTTTCATGAAGATGTAAATAAAATAAAATTTTTTAGTACATTGTTTTAACTTTTTTTCTGCAGTTTGTTTGCAGTTTGTTTGCAGTTCAGTGTTTTAAATTTTGAATTAAAATTAGTAGATTTAAAAAAAAAAAAAGTTTAAATCAGAATTAGCATTTTTATTTCTATTTTTTCACTTTTGAGGGTCTTACTCTCAGACTTCTTATCATCTATTTTATTTTTATTGTTATTATTATTATTATTATTTTGTATTATTTATTTCTATATTAAATTATTATTTAGGTATATTAAAGTATTTGAATTTATGTTGTTGTTTTTTTAAACATTTTTTGAAGTGGTTGCGTTTCTCGTATGTTTCATATATTTCACAAGAGACTAAAATTCATAGTTTGGAATTCAAACAAGTTAATTCCCTGTAAAAGCTTTTTAAGGTGCGATTTTTTTAAGTTATAACTATTTTGCCAAAAAAAAAATTTTTTATTTCTTTCAAATTTAATTTTTAATTTATTTCTTACAGTAATCAACCTGATTTTCAATTGGATGGATGGAATTTTTACAAACCAGAAGCAGAATTTAAACGACAAGGGGTTAGTTTTTAAAAAAAATTATATACATATATCACACACACACACACACACACACACACACACACACACACACACACACACACACACACACACACACACACACACACATTTTTAGTTTTACTTAAAATGAAAAACATTTTTTAATTTTCAAAATAGATATCGGAATTATGGAAACTGTCTAAGTTAAATGGAGATTATAGTGTTTCATCATCGTATCCTTGTCATCTTTATGTTCCATCAGTTGTCAAGGTATTTTTATATATTAACTTAAGCTTATAGTGTCTCATCCTTATATCCTTGTCATCCTTATGTTCCATCAGTTGTCAAGGTAATTTTTATATTTTAATTAGAAATTTATTTTTGTTTGGCATTTCAAAATTTTACAAACCTGAAAGTTTTTCTATTTGCTTTTATATTAGCTTTAATCATTTTTATTTTGTCGGTTAAAAACCAAAGCATTTGTGACATTTATTTTATCATTTCATCAGTTCTTTGTATTAATACATTATTTTCATTATTGATTATGATGGATTTTATCTGTGACATTGCATAATTTCATTATTGACATTTTACAAGTAACATAACATCATATCATCAGAAGCATCACTTTATTTTATCTGTGACATCATTTCATCAGTTTTAGTTTTTTAAATTAAAATAGTATTTTTAAATATGTAATAAAGTTTATTTTACAAACTTTTTTCTTTTAATTTCTTTTATCACACTCCAATGACTTTTTTACAAATATTTTTGATCAGTTGGTTATCAGTAATGTAAACTATTGGCACTTTTAAATAGCTATATTTGTATCTTCACCTTTTGTTTTAATTTCTTTTATGATGTAACCTTGCTCTAATTGCTTTTGTGGTTTTAAGGTTTGTAACTTCTCCTTGACCTCAAATTATTTGTTTGTTGCATTTTCTTGTTTCTGTTCTTAAATTAAGGAAATATAATACTACAAATCAGTCGCTTGTTCGCATGTTTACATGTAAAAAAACCTTTCCTAAAGTAGGGGCATCTAAAGATGGGACATAATTTTTAAAGATAGGCCAAGATTGTACAAAGTTTTTTTTTTTGGCAACAATATTTAAAGTTCATTAAAAAGTCATTCATACTTTATTTTTATATTATTTTTTTGAATTTATTTTGAATTAACAGGAAGAAGATATTATCGAGTCAGCAACATTTAGGTCAAAGGTATTTTTATCAATAAAAATTTTTATTTCTTGTTTGAAAATAGTGTTTCTTGTTTGAAGAATATTGTTAGAAATGCAGAGCTACAGGGCTTTGGTTATTTCAATGCTAAAAAGTATTTGAATATATTAAATGTTAAAAATATAAATCAAAATTTTATTGAAGAAATCATTATTGTAGAAACAAAGAAAAATCAAAAAACTTTCTCTTTACTGACAAATTTCCAAACTTTCTGTAATACAAAGTAAGAATGTTTATACAATCCTAGTTTTTAATATGATGTTTTCATTCTGACAAATGTTTTCTGGACGAATAGAAATTTCATTGCTAAAATTTTGAATTTTTTATGAAATTACCACACATGTTTTGATGTTGTTTTACAAACTGGAAAATCCATTTTCATTCATCCATTGTCATCATGTATAAAAATCTTTGCATAGTTTGTGATCATCAGAATTCTTTTCTCTGCTATATCAAAAACATTGGTTTTCAGAAGCACTTTTTTTGCCATTGATCTGATGATTGTGAGAACCTTGTTAAATCGTTATTTTCTAGAAGTTGAAAAGGGTCTAAGATACTGGTTAAGCAAAAAAAGCCAACATACTGTTTTTTCCACATTGATGACATGTTTAAAGTTGTTTGAGCAAAAACATTTGCACTATACTGAAGGATGGCAGTCTAGCAGGCTTTGTGGAAAGCTGCAGGTTTGTTGAAAACAGATTTATCAGGCAGCTTTTTTCTCAGTAAAAAAGCTGTCATTTTGCAAAGCTTAAGGTAATCACCAGTAAGCTACCGGGGTTGACATTTTATTAGGACCAGTACAGGTTCAATAAAAATAGCTGTGACAGGGTTTGTGACTGGGGTTGCATAAACATTGATACATACTAAAGTATATATTTTTTATTCTAAATTCATTTTATATTTTATATATACATGCATGTATATTTATATATAAACATCATCATGATCATCATGATTATCAACATAATTATCATGATCATCAACATAATTATCATGATCATCAACATAATTATCATGATCATTAAGCTTTAGCTTAAACTTTTTATTTCTTTAATATAAACAGTCTTATATTAGAGAAACAACATAAAATATAAATTAAATCTTAAGCATCTTCTTCCCTTAACTACATCTCATTCATACCATATGTAATGCACTCTCTTTAAGTTTTCTTACTTCAACCTCTACCAATTTCTTCTAAAGCTGCTACCTCTCTTCATACTAATATCCAAACCACTTTAATCTTCATTGACAAGTATTGCAATATTTTTTAAAATCTCTGTTTAAGATTATGGCTTTTTTTCTTAATCTTTTCCTGGATCCAAGCAGGTATGGAAACTTTTATTCTTTCTTATTGGTTTTATGTCTCATTCTACTTCATGTGTTTCACCTTCTTATGCAGTTGTTATATTACACCGTAATCATTTTTTTTACAAAAACATCTTTTGAGAACAAATGTCTTTTTATTATTGCAAGAAGTCAATGTAAAAAGGTCCTGTCTAATATTAGCTCCATTATTATCAGTTTAATAAATTTTGTATCTTATTTCAGATGTTAGGTTCTGGAGACTTTAGGAAATCTTTAACAGTGTCATTAACTAAATTAAGTCTAACATTCCATCTCTAATTCATGGGTCTAATCTTATAACCTCTCCCTAGAATAAGAGTTATTTGCAAAAAACTTCAACTTGAACTCAAATTTAAACTCTTGAATCTAATGGCCATACCAGTTAAAAAAAAAACAACCATTGTTAAACATCCAAATCACTCCGGCTTTTGATGCTTAAATAAATTCTAAATAAAACTCTTCTATGGTACAGACAACATTTCCATCATAGTTTTACAAAAGTGTTCTCTAGAGCTCATTTCAATTATTGTTAAACTTTAATAAGTGTTAAGTGGTTCCACATATTAAAAACTCTAGAAAACACTCTGACCTTTTTTTTTTCTTTTTTTTTTTTTTTTTAAACATCTTCACTTCCAACAAGGCTGTAAGCAACCACTTTTAGAGTTGGAAGTTACTAGAAGAGCAAAGATGAAGTTTGTAAAGCAACATAAGGAATAACAAATGACTTAAAAGATTGCAATTTATATAAATCAGGAAAACAAGTTAAAAGAAGTGAATTTTGAAGAACTGGTGTTCGAGGAAAAAAACTAGACAAATAAGAATTTTTGAAGCACTTAAGAACAGTCACAGTAAAAGTATAAGACTTAATTGAATGAAGAGTAAAACAAGAATAAATTCTAGTTGATGGTACAAGAGATGCTAGATCTTTAGAACAACAGCGTTTATAGTGTACTATAAACGTAATATTTCTACTACTCATTTAAATTCAACTTGGGAGGTAAATAGCATAAAGTAATAAAAATCTCAATCGATAAAAATATTTGAATAAAAATTATAATAATGTATTTCCAAATAATAATTCAAATAATAGTAAACCTGCTCTGATAGCTATTATTGTTGGTTATAATAGTTAATAATAATTTAGTTAATAATAATAGTTAATAATTATTTTAATTAATAATATTATAGTTATAATGTTAAAGTTGGTTATAATAGTTCATAAAGTTATTAAATATCTTTAAAAAAAACAATAAAACCCATATTTTCTAGGATTTTATTGGGTTTTTTTAGGCGGGTTTTATTGGGTGGGTTTTTTAATGCCAACCCTGAGCAGGCTGGAAAACAAGACTCTGATAAGCATTTGTTAAATAGTTTTGTTAGTATAGATGACAGCTCCAGAGAGCACATCTGCAAGTCTATAACAGGTATGTTGTCTAGGCCACTAGCTGTAGAAGAGTCTGAGCAGGAAATCACTTTAAATACAGAAGCTGGAGTGATACGAATGTCAAGCAATAAATCAACTTGTTTATCGACTAAATTAGGTAGGATGTGATTAGTGGAATGAAGAGATTATGTATTTGTTGAGAGGGAATAAAAGATTCCATAGCATTCTGATAGTGAAGAAGAATGAGATAATAGTTTTAGAGAGATCAAACCATGATCAGAAGTACCTAAGGGTGAATGTGGAGAAACTAAGCATTGTCTAGGATCAGAAACTGGATTGTCTGGGAAGCAAGATGAAAAGTTGACTATTTGTGTTAGAGGTTGAAAAAGGCAATAGTTGAGTGCCTTAACAACTGCAGAGACACTGACACTAGAACCAAGCCATTCAGTGTGATGAGTATTAAAGTCACCAACAACAATGGTATTGGCTGAAGGATAAAGAGAAAGGGCTCAGTCAATTTGATCAGAATTAATATTGAAAAGAGAGCAGTCTTGAGATGAAGGAGAGCAATATAGAACAAAGAGAAAAGTGATAGGGTGAAGTGGTACTAAAACCAAAATATATAAAAGAATAGTCTGTGGATTCAAACCTAGTTTCCCGACAAATGGGCGAATTTTTACCAATATAAATGCCTGGGCCAAGCATGTTTCTATTTTTACTCTATACAAATTAAATAAAGACAACCATCAAAATTATAGTCACAAGATGAGACAGCTGAATTTGTCTCACAAAAAGCAAGTATGTCTGGTAAACTTTGGAAGAGATAAGACTCAACAGAAGCAAAGTTACTTTGAAGATCACAAATATTAGTGAATGATAGAATTATAGAAACTTGGTGGTAACTATGGTTTTTTGTGTTTTATAGTTTTTGATACTTTAGTTATTTTTTAAATTGGTTAAAAAACTTGACTTTTTTAAATTGGTTAAAAAATTTGAAAAACGCAGATAGTACTCAGTACACTATTTATTAATCCAAGCAATTGCCTCATTACTATTAATAAACCCAAAGCCGTAAAAAAGAGCTTTAAATGTGGCCTCAAAACAATACACACCAAAAGTACATACAGGGGCAAACCATGCACAATATGACATCAGTAGTACTTTTAGTACTAACATTAACATTAGTTTTGGTACTAACACTAGCACTAGTATATTTTACAGCTGTTAATGGAATCAGTCTCTCTGAGAGCTACCACAGAGTTTGGAAAATCTGACTACCAGCGAGACTCAGAACCATTAAACTGAGTTTTAAAGATGTATCCTCATTAGGAGATTATAGAATGAGTTGTCAAGTATTAATAGTAGTCATAAAAACAGAGAAAAACAAAGAGCAAAGCCCAATTAAGTCAAGAAGATCCAGCATTCAACATCCAAAACTGAAAACTGTATTATAATTATAATTAGAAAGTTAGAAAGAAATGATTATTCAATCATTTCTTTCTAACTTTCTAATTGCAGCAATAAAGTCATTTTTGAAGGCCTACAATTTTTTCCTGTTACTTTAGGGGTACCTCAATGTTCTATCTTAGCTCTTGCATCGTTTTTTATCTAAAATAACATCTCTCTGACAACCTTACATCTATAGCTATACTCTGTTAACTCAACTATATACTGTTGCGTTAACAAAAAGTTTTCACTTTTTGATTGCTTAGAACAAGCAGCGGATCTTTTTACTGATATCTCTTGTAACAGCTGGGCGATTGCAATGGCTTGTGGATTTTAAAATTAGCATCTGCAAAAGTTGCATCTCTTTATTGTGCCCGCCACTTTCTTACTCCGGATTCCTTTATTTCTATAAATCTCAATCTTTGAATGAAGCTCTTCCTCTTTTAGACAAGGTACAAAAAATGCATTGTAAACATTTTTGGACCTGCTCTTGCAGCCAACTTTCAACCATCGTAATATTTCTTCTCTTTCTTTTTTCTTTTAAATCTTTAATAGGTGTTGCTCTAAAGAGCTAGTTTGCTTTGTACCATCTACTAAAATTCATTTTTGTGTTATTTATCATTCAATTATGTCTTTTCCTTTTACTTAAGTGCTCCAAAATTTCTTATTCCTCTAGTTTTTTTCCTCAAACATCAGTTCTCTGGAATCCAGTCCTATCGTGTTGTTTTCCTGATTCATATAATTTCTTATAAGTGAAGATGTTTAAAAAAAAATATTATGAGAGCCAAAAATAGCATGGTATATGTTTAAGAGTGTTTCCAGATTGACATGATGGCGAACTTTAGCCAGCAAAGCAGTGGATTAAATTTTTATTAAGTTCAACAATCCACTGTGTTCAGAGTCTACTGCGTTTGAAGCAAAATACTTATAATTGAATTACTTATGAAATTTCTTAATTTGCAATTGATTTTAAATTAATTGATTGGCTAAAAAAGCCTGAAATATTATATATGCTCTTAAATTTTTATATTGACCCTATTTTATGCTTCCTACTTCTAGCTTAAGCTAAATTATGTTGATAGTAATAAACTAATTATAAAAATAATTAGGTTGTGACAGTTTATTTATGCAATTAACTTTTTTTATGCAGGGAAGAATTCCAGTACTTACATGGTTTAATAATCAGCGTAAAACATTCATGATGAGATGTTCTCAACCCAAGTTTGGTGCTATGGGAAAGGTTTTCTTATAATTATTATTATATATGGGAAAGGTTTTATATATTAATAAATATAAATAAATTCTATTGTTTTCATACGTATATAAAGATTTTTCGAATTATTAATTTTTACTTATCTAATGATGTTCCTATATATTTATATATATATATATATAAATATATATATATAAATATATATATATATAAATATATATAAATATATATATATATATATATATATATATATATATATATATATATATATATATATATATATATATATATATATACATATATATATATATACTATTTTCATTGATTATTTAATGATATTATAAAAACTATAATTAAAATTTGAAATTATGTATTTTTTGTAAGCAAGATTTATAAAACTTTTATGATTAACATTTAATAATAAAAATAAAATGTTCAAGTCGTTACTTAAAATTTTCTTTAAAAAAAACAATTAATTTTAATCTCATAAAGTTGTTTTTTCTCTTTTACTTTAAATTATTTATTTAAAAGTAAACAACTTTTTTAGTTAAAACTCAAAAATAAATTTGATTTTCTTATTGCTCTCACTTAGTGTTTTGCTTTTTTTTTCAGTATTTTTTTGCATTAATATGGGACTGTGCACCATTAATATATATCTATACAAACAAAAATCTATATATACATATTTAAGGCTTTATAATTTATTTATATTAATGTATAAGTGTAATTTTTGATTGAAAAACATTTATTTTAGTTTAGTGTAGCTGATGAAAATATTGTCCAAGCTGCAAAAAATGCAAGTCCTGTAAAGCGCTTAGTTATTTTTGATGCACGATCAATGCTTGCAGCTGGTGGAAACAGACTAAAGGTATGAACGTTTCATATTTTTTTAATGATAAGCAGACAAAAAAGAAAAACTAGGGGGGGGGGGGGAACAGCTACAAAGAGAAACTAAAGGTTTTTTTATTAGAATATATATCTTTAAAAATTTATTTCATAAATTAATAACAAAATGTTTTTATAATCATTTTGTGTTGCAATCTTAAGTTACACTTTTTGTTTCTAATGCCTATTACTCTAACCGCTTTTAATGCCCAGTGCTCTAACCACTGCACCACATTCTGCAGACTGATACAATCATTTTTTATCATATTAGAAATAATTATTTCCTTCTTTAAAAATGCTTTATAAATATTTACCAATTAAGGCTTTAACCAATCAGGCATATAATCATGATATTTACTATGCTACTATTCATGTAATCCTCTGCAACTTGTTTCATGTCCTACTGCCTTTTTAAGATTTACTTTCCAAGCAAAAGCTAGAAGAATTATACTTCCTGTCATCAATACTATCTATTATCTGTCATGTCTATTATAGAGGTATCGATTTTTGTCTGTTATATAGCTGAAGGTGTCTTAAATACTGCGTTAGCTCACCCGTATTTTACTATATATGTATGTTTTGTCTGAATATCTGGCACAGTGTTCACTCACTCATAAGTTGCAGTTTGTATGTTAGTGTTTTTTCTAAACCTCTAATATGGTGTTCATTGACTTGTAAGTTACTTTATGTATGTTTGTGTTCTGTCTGATATTCTGGGGTTGTGTTCATTTACCCGCGAATTCTTATATGCATGTTAGTGTTCAGTCTGAACCTCTACATATGTATGTTTGTGTTCTACCTAAATCTCTGGTGTAGTGTTAGTTCAGTAACCAACTAGATCAAACTATCAAAAATCCAACTATAAAACTTATGATCACCAGCATGTAATGTTTTTCCTAATGCATTTCCAAAATATCTTGTTTTATCTGAATATTCAGTGATTATTCCGTATTTGGTCTACTTTTTTTACTATTTGATATTCAGCCAAATATTGTAAACTATTCTGCCAAATACCAGACAAAAAAAAAACGGTTTACAAATAACTGTTTTATTAATTTTTTTATTTTTAATAATAATTGACATATTTGATACTTAGTGGTAGGTTATGATAAAATTTTTTTCATTGTTTGATGATAGCAAATGATTGTGAATTTCTCATAAATTATACATACTTTCAAAAATAGTCATTCATTATGTACACTGCCACCAGCAAAAAAAACAAAAATTATAGCAAGTTCTGTTATAAAATCTTTTGCACTCACAACCACAACTTTTAAGGGATTGTTGTTTAATTTAAGCAAATAGTTTCATGTAAAAACTAATTTATTTGCAATTTTAAAATGGGTTTAACCACAAATCTAAGAAGAAAATGAAGAGACTTTATTCATTTATACAAGATATTGAATTATTTGTAGTTTGTCAATCATAATATCAAACTAGTCTTTAAGTCAAGTGTTGAATTAGATGGCCCATGTTCTTCAACTAGAGGTCACTAACGTAAAATCAGGATGCAGCATTTCACCCCTCACAAAATAAATGAATTTTGTCTATTGGTTAATTCAAGGATTCATTTCTTCTCAAACAGAATGTGTCAAATTGGAACAAACCTCCTGATATTGTTGTAGAATCCAAGAATAAGCAAGTTCAAAGCGAGTTATGATGAATGGTTGGCAAAAAATGTAAAAACTTTGGTTTAAAAAAAAAAGTACTATTGCTGCTAAAGCTGAATGTTGCTACTTCTCAGCTTATGGATAAGATTCCTACATTTACTACTAACTATATATATATATATATATATATATATATATATATATATATATATATATATATATATATATATATATATATATATATATATATATATATATATATATATATATATATATATATATATATATATATATATACATATATATATATATATATATATATATATATGCACACACACATGTATATATAATTTTTAGGAAGTTCATACCTCCTTCCTAACAAATGTTGCAAAACTTTCCCAGAGATTGGTTTAAACTGTGGATCCTTGTTTCTGAGGCAAGCTTGATGCCACTGCACCATGGCTGCTTGCCGAAATTTAATTTGTCTTGTTTTCCCCAGATAGTGAGAATTAATGAGAATAATAGAACTCCAAACAGAAATTATATTTGAGAAATTTTTTTTTCTCAGGTTATTTAAAACTAAATAATTTTATTTAATTATAAAAAAATTTAAGACTGAAAACAGTCGCTACTTGGGATATGGGTAGGGACAAAGCAACTCAGCAGGCATCTCATAAAACTTCAGGGAACCGCTCAATTGCTTTTAATGGTTTATGTTTTAAAAACTCATCTAGGTTGTAAGAGTTGCTTTAAACATTAACTAAATTTCTGGAGTTGTTTTTAGAGCTGCCTGAAACTCTGTTTCAATTATATCTAGTTGAAACTGCATTTGTTTCTCCGAAAAATTATCTTCTTTTTCCTATTCACACAGTATAAATAAATTTGGTTGAGTAATAAAATTGGTATATTTCATATATGTATGTATATATGTATGTATGTATATATGTATGTATGTATGTATGTATGTATGTATGTATGTATGTATGTATGTATGTATATATGTATAAATGCATGTGTTTCATGTTTAGTCGTCTTTTGCTATTTGCAAATTAATTTGCTGCGGTACAAAACACTTTAATATGGAATGCTGTGAAGGGCTGCCTTTAATGGCTATATATTTTTGCTTCTTATTCTAATGTTATGACAAGTTCTGGGTGTTTTCTAAATAAATGTTGTATAAGATTGCTTATGCAAGCTTTTACAAACATTTGAAATTACAAGTTTATGGCACTTGTAATTTCACTTCAATGACAGTTCTTTATTTTTACTTATTTTGAAGATACTACTTTAAATCCATTCAAAATTTTATTTGTACAATAAAAATGTCTGAAAATGTCTACTGTATCAGATCTTATCTGATATAGAAGCCATTACTTGTCAAGATTGTTGCAAGCAAATATATAGAAAATATAAAGAAAAAATGTAGTTGTTGCAGTTAGTTGTAAACATGTAAGTTATTTGCTTTCTATTATATACTCTTCATAAACTTAATTATTTGTATAACAACCCATGAAAACATAGTTAGGAAATGAAATAACCCATGAAAACATAGTTAGGAAATGAAACAACCCATGAAAACATAGTTAGGAAATGAAACAACCCATGAAAACATAGTTAGGAAATGAAACAACCCATGAAAACATAGTTAGGAAATGAAACAACCCATGAAAACATAGTTAGGAAATGAAACAAGCAACGAAAACATAGTTAGAAAATGAAACAACCCATGAAAACATAGTTAGGAAATGAAACAACCCATGAAAACATAGTTAGAAAATGAAACAACCCATGAAAACATAGTTAGAAAATGAAACAACCCATGAAAACATAGTTAGGAAATGAAACAACCCATGAAAACATAGTTAGAAAATGAAACAACCCATGAAAACATAGTTAGAAAATGAAACAACCCATGAAAACATAGTTAGAAAATGAAACAACCCATGAAAACATAGTTAGAAAATGAAACAACCAATGAAAACATAGTTAGGAAATGAAACAACCCATGAAAACATAGTTAGAAAATGAAACAACCAATGAAAACATAGTTAGGAAATGAAACAACCCATGAAAACATAGTTAGGAAAATCATTATCATGACTAGTTAAAAAGTAATCATGTTATTTAAAAAAAAATTTTAATATGTTTCCTGTTATCATTTCTAACAATGAATTAAATCAAAAATATTTACGAAAATGCATTAAAATTAAAAGTAAGTTCTTCCATAAAAAGAATTGTTTCGCAAAATAATTTTTATTTATTTGTTGAGTATTTTTATTAGCTTTTTTTAGCTTCTTTGTGACCAACTTAGTATGTTTTTTACCAATTATCTAGCTCATTAGTTTGACTTTATAGCACAAAATTACAGGCATATTTGATTTTTGTTAACTTGTTTTCCAGTTAATTGACGAAATTGTTTTGTTTAACTAATTTTTTAGTTAAATATAATAGTTTTTGCATATCATTAGAAAATATTAAAATTAGAATTCTTTATTTTTTATTTGTTTCCGATGCTTTTTAGCTAGATTGCTAATTTGAATTTGGCCTTTTGTTAGCAGAGTATACCGAAAAACTAATACCTTAAGACATTATTAGCTATAATAATATATTCCATGACCAACATGTTTGTTAAACTTTATTAGTTTTAAAATCAGCAATTATTGAATTTTGCGCATTATTTTTGGCATACCAAATAATTTGGGTTCTCACAAGTTAAACAAAAATACATCCAACTTGTTATATAAAATAGTTTTATTGCACTTTTTAAAAATTTTGTTTGTTGTCATTGTAAGCATATGTGGTGTGATATTTTGCGTATTGGCATTTGTCTATCCACAATTTTAAAACGTGATTTATAAAATATCTGCATTGTAGGAAATTCTTGCAATCTGGCAAAATGAACAAAACTGGTAATGATCGAGATAAACTTTCCAGTTAAATGATCTTTTGCAGTGCTTTGTGATAAGACCATGTCTTTTTGAAGCACATTAACTAAAGAAGGAAAAAAAGGAGTTTTGGAGTCTCAAAATTTTTATGGACGCCCAAAACTCCAGACTCTATGTTTTTTTTTTTTCTCCACTCTATGTTTTTTGGTATCAATCTTTCGGTTCATGATTATCTAAATAAATTTTTTTTTTATGTCAACATTTTGATACAATTTCAGATTTTTTGTTCTTCTATGTTTATCAACTTACAACAATTTATCTTTTTGATAAATTGTTATAAATTGAGACTCTTTTAATTAATAACCATTTTTGTTTTTAAAAATTTTTTTGAATAAAAAATATTTTTAGGGGTCACTCAAGCCTTTCTTTCTTTTTCTTTTTCCACCTTTGAACAACGAGTTTGTAATATTATAAAAAAATTTTTTTACAAAAGTGCATCATATTTGGTCTCAAATGAAGCGAAATTAAATGAAAATTTTAAAATGATAATTATATTATAAAATGTTTATTGTAAAAAAAAAAAATTGCTAAAAATGCACTTTTTTAGTTAATAAACCTCATTTTGATGCTGTTAAATCTAACATCTAATTTTCATATAATTTTGCTTTATTTGAGACCCAACATTATACACTTTATATATATATATATATATATATATATATATATATATATATATATATATATATATATATATATATATATATATATATATATATATATATATATATATATATATATATATATATATATATATATATATAAGGCCGGCGCGATAGGGCGGTGTGGGGGGTGTCACCCCCCACACTGCCCTATCGCGCCGGCCCTATCTACACCCCCCCCCCCCCATCAATGATTTTTAATCAGCAAACTGGACCCTTAGTCGGCAAATCGGACCTTTTTAGACTAGTTAGTCGGCAAATGTCGACCCTTTCGATATAGGTTAGACAGTCGGCAAATGTCGTTTTTTTTTTTTTTTTTTTTTTTAGTCGGCAAAAGTTGTAATGGTACACACACCCCCACCCCCACCCCCCACCTACCCCCACGTGACACTTACTCGCGCCGGCCCTGTATATATATATATATATATATATCTGTTATGTTCAAGGGTCTTGAGGAACCCCTAAAAATATTTTTAATTTAAAAATATTTTAATGCTCTACTTTATTTGTTCTCTCTTGATACAGACTAATAGCTGCTTTTGTTTTAGTCAATAATTATTTTTACAAAAATTTTAACTTTAATCTCTAATTTCTATAAAATTGTATTTTACAAGGGTAAAGGTACAGAGGATATAGTGAATCGCTACCATGGTTTGAAACTTTTGTTTCTTGATATTGCCAACATACATGCAATGAGAGAGAGTATTGATAAACTTCAAACAGTATGCGAGTCAGCTCAAGACAGTAAGTGGATGTCACAACTTGAATCTACACAGTGGATGTTACATATAAGATCTGTACTCAAGGTATTTTATTTTAAAAGTTTAAATTGATTAACTGTTAGGGTTTTTGATAGTTTGTTATTTAGGATACCAAGCAGTATCCTTGACTAAAAGAAACATTGCTGTAACTTTTCACAATTGCACTTAAACTTTTTTTTTGCTTCAGTTATTGCTTTGTTTATCAGTTTCAATTTTTTTTAAGTCAAAACTAAATTTGACTTAAGCATGAAGTCCTTGTTTGAGTAAAATTTAGTTTTAGATAAAAAAAGTCATTTATGATTTTAGTTCCAAGAAATATAAATGTCAAAAAGTCATTTATTATGTATCATTTTTATTGACTTTCTTCTAAGTATTTTTCTGTACTATTTTTAGTTTTACCTAAACATAAAACTACTATTTTTAGTTTTATGTTTAAGAATTGAAATAAAGTTTGAAATAAAGAAATAATTACTTATTATCACTTTAGTAGTTATCAGCTTTTACATTTATTTTATTATTTATTAATTATTACTAAGAATAATTGATTAAAGCATGGTTACTAAGAATGTAATGCATCATCTATGATTTGAATGGCAGTTTTAGTATTAAGCCATGAGTCAAGTTCTGTAGTAATTTAAAAGATAGTTATTTAGTAATATTAAACATAAAAAAACATCATTACCATTTTTGTGTCTTTTTTGGTCTTTTTCCCTGTTAACTTTTCGTCTATTAAATCTTTGCTCTTGTAAAATTTACCAGATTTACTTAATTAAATTTGTTTGCTTCATTGTATCTCATTGTTGATGACTATTCAATAGTATAATATTCAAAACACAATAGTATTGTGTTTTGAAATACAAAATCCCAAATATTCAATTCAAAATAATAATTGGTCTGAGTATATACTTATGTATCAAAGCATCTAATTGTTGTGAATTCAGGTTTGAATTGTCTTTATTTACTATTTTTATGTGCTTTTATCTAGCATCTCTGCACTTAATCAAATCAAGTTGTCCTTTCGTTTCTTCAGCGATTGAATGGCTAGTTTCTCTGCGTTCTTTTTTGGGTGGGTTTGGATTATGCTATGATTTCACCAAAACTTTTATGATGGTTTTTCTTCTGATGTCTTTTGTCTCTACTGAACAAAATCTGGATTAGAGCATTTATATAAGCATTTATTTATTTTCATTATTTAACATCAAGCTTCACTCTGGTTTTCTTATTTCTTTGCAGATTTTTAATTGCAGTTTTTTCTTTCCACAAAAAACAAATTTCTTGAGAACTAATGTCTTTTTATCATTGCAAGAAATTTATGCAAGGTTGTTCAAGGTAAATTATTCTCAAATTACAAAATCTCTCATACATAAAACTGGTCTTATTACCTCCCCTCAAGATAAAAAACTATTTGCTTAGAAACTATTTTAAGAATTAAGAATTTTAAGAAACTATTTTAAAAAAAGTAAAACTATTTCCTTAGAAACTATTTTAAGAAAAAATAAAAATAAAAATTTTTACTTTTCCTTTAATTCATCTCTGTCATCCTAGAAAATCAGCTTAATCTATAGTTAGACATCTAACTCAACTTCTAAAGTTACTTCTCACTTAAACTTACTCTTTTACAACTTGTGGTCTTAACAACATCTATCAAAGTTTTAAAAAAGTGTTCTCAAAATTAACTCCAATACTTTCTAAATTATTTAGCAAGTGTTTAATCGCTTAATATCCTACCATCCTGCATGTTAGATAATAGCATTCATGGCTCCAATTTTAAATAGTTTTGAAGAATGCTCTGATCCTGTTAAATATTTTTCATTTGGACTTCTACTATTATTAGCACAGCTTTAAAGTTCTTAATTAACACACTTCTAATATCTTATCTTAAGTCTGGCAACTTACTCACTGTAAATCAATACTGATTTTGGTTCTCTTGTTGCTGGTTTTTAAACCATAATAACAAATGGATTTTATTGTTTCTGTACCAGAGTATTTACATAACTACAACAACATGTTCATATGACATGAATTAGGCCTACAAGTGCACTTTAGTTGCATACATGTATGTATGAACCCCTACATGTATGTATGAGCCCCTACTTTTTTCATTACATTGGCATTACAAATATTACAATGACTAGAAAAAAGTCCAATTGTATCTCTACAGTAAACAGGCTGCTGAATATGTTCATCAATGTTTTAGTACACATTAGAAAAAATTCAAACAAGGTCTTAAAAGGTGTAAAACCGTTTGTTGACTATAAAAGCAAACACTTATTGAGAATTCATACTATTTTTTGCTAGATTTTATTTAGTAGAGCCTAATAAAAAAATTTAAATTAATATAAATTCTGAGTGCTATAAAAATGCAAGATTTTGGATGCTGTTATTTCATTCTTATGTGTAATAATTAAAAATAATTAACAAAACAAAAATTTGAATTTATATTTCTGGCAAAATAGTTACATTTTTATTTTATTTATTTTGACAACTGAAATGTTCATCCTGCTTCAAGCTGAGTCAAAGCTTTGTTGAACCTGCCAAAAAATTAGTATTCTGTTAAATAATATGACATTCTGTTCAAAGTAACTAATAGTATACAATTCATACTATGTGACTTGATAAGCAAAATTATTGAATCAACAATAATCTTGACTAAATTTTTAAGAAACGATAACACTTTTTTGAAAGTAAACAAAAATAACTAAAAAATTAGCTCAGGCTTTTTTCAAATATGAATCATGTTATTTTTTGTTACCATTTTAACCTAGTTTCTACTCAATTTTAACTGCATGTTAATTAGTTTATGCTAATAATGTTTTGTCTCCTTTATTTCTATAACATTTAAGGTTATTGAGTAAATGAACTTTTCATCAAAATATAATTTTTGATTATTAAAGGGGGGGGGGGGGGGGGAAAGGGAAAGAGATATACTTGTTTTATTGATAAATGCCTTTTACCTTCTTTAACTTACAAATGCAAATTATTCAGGGTGCTACATTGATTGCTCATTATTTATCAGAAAAGAATGTCTCTGTTCTTTTGCATTGTTCAGATGGTTGGGACAGAACTCCTCAGTTATCTGCTTTAGCACAAGTCCTTCTGGATTCTTATTATCGAACATTTGATGGATTTAAAGTAAAATTTTTTTTTTTAATTTTTTTTTTTAATGCAAAAAAAGTTGTTTTGTTGCTGTTATTTTTTCAGTAAATTTGTGTTAAAATTATACATATAGGTACTTGTTATGAAAGATTGGATTTCTTTTGGTCATCGGTTCAGTGATCGCCTTGGGGATCCTTTAGCACCAACTCAGAGATCACCAATATTTTTGCAGTTTCTTGATTGTGTTTGTCAGGTGCGCATTTTTAATTTATAAATTACTTTCAAATTATAAATTTGAAACTGCATATTATAATATTTCAGGCCTTGTTTTAAATAAAAAAGTGCTTAATGCATTAGCTTAACGCGATTTTGACGTCATAAAAATATCTTTATTTTTTTTTTATAGACGTTAAGTGTTTTAACTACCGCAATAAATAAATAACCGCAAACTAGTTCAATTTAACAATTAAACTATAAACGTTTTAAATATAAATTTATTATGAAAATTTTGTAATGTTTTCAGTTGTTATTTTATATATTAATTTTAGTTCAATATTATTTAGTAAAATATATATATATATATATATATATATATATATATATATATATATATATATATATATATTTCTGAAATTTGTTTTTGAATAATTGTTTTTAATTGTTATTGAATAAAAAATAATAATGATTTTTTTTATTTTTAAAAATTTCTAGAGTAAACAAAAAATATTAACATTGATAAACGCAAACCCATGTTAATTATTTAAACAACGATTTTGTTTTGACTAGCAAAGAAAAATTTAAGTTTTTAAATATTTTTAAAATTTTTAAAAGCGTTTCAAACTTGCGTTTTATATAAATATAAAAAAGTTTTGTCTGCTTTGTGCATATTTTTGATACGTAGTTTAGAACGCGTTCGCTAGGAATTTAATTCATAAATTTTTTATGTTATTGTAAAAATATTTAACTTTTTAAAAAAATCACAAAGAAACAGAGCTATAGAGAAAAATCGTTTTCAACGATTAAATCATATTTTTTTTAATTTTAGGAAATTAAAAAAAAAATTAAATTAAATGCAAACTCTTTTGTTAATTATTCTTAAAACAAAAAAACAAATACTTCTACGCCAAACTTTAATCGTGCAAACTTAAAAAAATACTCAACTGAAATAATTTAAGTATATTTAATAATTTGAATCGTATCTGTTTATAATAAACGTTCGTAAAAATTTGTTTATTAAAAATTAAGTTCCTTAACTTATAAACAAACTCAAAAGTATTTTCATTCTACGTATAATTACAAAACTCTTTTTTTTTTTTCGTTTGTTAGCAATTTAATTTAATAAAATTAAAAAAAAAGAACAAATATGAGGTATTCTTTGTTAAGAATAAATTTAATTTATTTATTGAGCTATATTTTTATTTTTAATTATAAATCAACTTAATTAAAATATAGTAACATGTTAAAATATTTTAACATGACTTGTATTATTTATAAACCGTTGGGCAGTTGCCCTTACGGCACTATTGTTTTTAGATAATATTTTATTTTGATGAAGATCACATAACTTACATTTGATTTTAATAACGTAAGTCTTCTCTTTTTCTGTGATCATCGCATCGGCAAAGCATCGGCGAAGTCCCAAGATTTAAAAGTTTTTAAAGTAAATCTTTTGTCCTTCAAAATACAATCCATATTCGAACTTTAAACAATTTAGAGATAATAGAAATATACAAGGTTTTTATTTACTAGTTTGTTTTGTTTTATAAAGAAAAATACATATTCATTAGTAAAAAATGGAGACTGTCATTAAACTAAAACGTGCCTTAGTATTTATTTAACGGAACCTGTAATGTGCGCGTGCATAATAAAACCTCCGTTATATAAATATATTCAATGTAATATTAGTGTCATCAGCGGATGTTGTAGTCTACTCATGATTTCTTTACCTTATATTATAACTTGATTTATGAAAAAAAAAACTTATTGAATCGCACGCAGAAGAATTTTAACAAATTGTCTTCATTCAAATATTGCGAGTAACAGGTAATTTTTTTTTTCTGTGCCGACCCCCTCCCCCCGCATAACTTAAATTATATACTAATAAACTAATAAGAAAAGCTATATACTATTAAACTAACTATAAGCTATATACTATTAAACTAATAAGAAAAGCAAAGACATTTTTTTTAACATCTCGAAAAAATGTCTTGATATTTTTGTTATCATGATAACAAAAATATTAAGACATTTTTTGAGATTTTATTAAAAAAAAATGTCAAATCTTAATTACAAATTTTTTTGCAAATGTTTTTTATTATAAATTCAGTAAAAAATTCATAAAAAATCTATATTACAAAAAACTTTTATATTCTGTATTAATAAATATGGAATATAGATTTTTAAAAAGTTTTTTACTAAAAACTTTAAAAAATTACTACTTTTTTATTAAAAACATTGCAAAAAATTAGTAGTTAAGGATTGACAAACAATTTTTTATGTTGCTAAATATTTGGATAAAAAGTTTAGCGTCAAATTAATTGCTATAAAAAGGAAAGATATATCGCAATGAAAAGTTACAATAATTATTTTTAAAGTAAATTCTTTTTTTTAATAAATACCTTTACATAACGTTATTTAAAAGTTATTGTGGTTTTTTTGAAAATTAATTACTTCTTTTATGTTACCGCTAATTTAAAAGTTAAAAAATGATAAAAAGTAGCTTAACCAAAACAGCTCTACGCGTACGTAAAAAGCGCTTAAGGCGTACGTAAATCGCTCTAGGCGTAACGCTTTAAAACAAGGCCTGATATTTTATAAGTTTTCAAGAGTTCAACTGTAGGTAGCTTTGCTCTAAAATAAACAGTTTGTCTTATTGTCTACAGTTTTACAAGAGCAAGAAAAGTATTAAAAACACAATGTTTGAAATCTTTACAATTATAGGTCTCTTGCAATAACTATCATTTTTCTTGTAACCACTTTGGATGAAAAATGTTAATAAATAGAAAATATTTTTAAAAAATTAAAATATAATAATATCAACCCTTGGAATTAGGCGATGCCGGCCTAACTGCCGACCTGAATGTGTTTGAGGTCGGCAAAAAATTGCTGACCTCGTTTCTGTTTCATGATAAGACCTTTGTATGGAATAATTTTTGCCGCCCTGATGCCGACCTCTAAATGATTGAGGTCAGCAAAATATTGCCGACCTCATTTTTTTCTAATTTTGAGGGTTGGTAATATATAATACAGTTTTTATATATTATTTATAATATTTATTTTGAAATTTGTTATAAGTTAAGTAGTTGATAACTTATGAATATTTTCTTATTGGGTTTTAGGTTGTCTGTCAGTTCCCTGAAGCATTTCAGTTTAACATGAAGTATTTAGTTCGAATTGCAGAGCATATTAACTCAGGATGGTATTCTATAAATGTTTTTACTTTCTAATTTTAAAAATATAAATATAATTTATTAATATTTATTAGTGAATCTAAGTAAATAAAGAGTTATATAATATATAAAAATACTAGATTTTTTCATAAAAAAAAATTTTCAAGTTTTTTTAAGTTTAACATATTACAAATAATTCATTGTTATGTTGATTTCTTCAAGAAAATAAAATTAAGCTTATAAGTGTGCTCATCACAAATAAAATTTCATATAAAAGCTCATCGAAAAATTTTAAAGTGTTATTTGAAAAAACTTTTTTTATAAAAAGTGAAAATCAACCAAATATTTTACTTAAAGGGATCCCCAACTGCCGAGACAAGTTGTGTTCATATTAAAGAAAATGTTAAAAAAAGCATTATGTATAATGTTAGCCACAATCTGCAGACTTGATAATTTATTCCATGCCTGTTTAATTCATAACAGTTTCGGTATATGACGTATAAATTTTTTCTTTCAAGATCATCTTGAAGATGTCATGTTATTTTTTTGCCAAAATCACCAAATAATGTTAATTGTATAACTTGTTACTAAATCCCAAAAAAAGTTTATGATGCAATTAAAAATTAAATTTATAAAATTTCTATAAATAAAAATTTAATATATAACGAATATTCACAGTAAACGTAGTGGTTTAAACTAAATATAAGCTACTAAAAGAATAATTTTACAAAAGCGTATAAATTAATTTAAAGTATAAACTGAAAAAAAACAACGAGTGACTTGAATAAAACATATAAACTGAACTAAATAGAAAATAAATATTAAACAACTTATTTTACTAATAACCGTTCAAATCAAACTAAATAAAAGTTTAAACAAGTATTTGTACTAAAATATACAATAAAGTGTATAAAATATAAATATAAAAACAAAGAATTGCATTAAATTGTTCACTACCAGCCGAACAAAAATCTTTTTGTCGCAACCGCTCATTTTTTTGAATAATATTTGAATAGAAATTGAATAGAAAATAATTTGAATACATTGACAATTAAAATTTGATAATAATAAAGTTTTTAACATGCATCATTAAACAATAATAAATGCAAAGTGCTTAAAACTATTGTTTTTGTAAGTAGTAACTAAAACATTAAGTCCAAACAAACCAAAAATAATTTTTTTTCTTCAAAATACTTTGGTAATTACTTAACTTAATACTTAACACTTCTACAAGTTTTACAGTGTTAATGCTGTTTTTTTATGAAGGATTTATAAATATATATATATATATATATATATATATATATATATATATATATATATATATATATATATATATATATATATATATATATATATATATATATATATATATATTTGTATAACTTTTTACTGTCACAAATATTTTTTGTGATTTAGTAAAAAATTATACAAATATTTGATTTTCGTATTGTAGTAGAAAAAATACTTATATCTTTAAACAACAACAAAAAAAAGGATATCTTCAAAAGATGTCGCAATGACGTCATATACTGAAACTGTTATGAATTAACACGCCTTGAATAAATTATCAAGTCTGCAGATTGCGGCTAATATTATACAGACTCCGAGAACCAAAAAAAATGGAAACAGCGAGTTTCGACTAAAATGATAATTTTAATTTTGTTGGTATCCATTCATTATTTAGTTTCAACAAAAAAATTCAGCTTAAATGTTTTTTTTAAACATTTTCTTTAATATGAACACAACTTGTCTCGGCAGTTTGGGAACCACTCGCTTCATAAACGAGTGGTTCAGAGTTCGATCCCCACCACGTCCCTGGTAGTACCGCGCTCAACTCGTTTCTCCGCGCAGCGGCCTTGTCCGTCAAGGTTCGTGTTTCGGAGTTATAGAGTTGAGAGAGGGTTATAGCCAAAAATAAGTAGCCTTCTTGTCTGTAGTGGCCTTCTCAGCCTTGAGGAGGTGAAGTAAAAAAAAAAAAAAAAAAAAGAGAAAAGTAGTTCTCGCATCATTAGATATGTATTTATATTATAAAAAATAATTTTTGTATCAATATGTATTAATAATATAAATTAGTTTGTAATGAATTTAGGTATGCTTTTTATGTAATTCAAGGTTGTTTCTTATTATTATTGTTCACTTTATTTAATACTTGTAATTATTGAAAATTATGTATTTTATTAATTGTATTTATAATATAAAAAACAATGCTTATATTATTAAATTTGTCTTATTAGAAATAATTCTTATATCATTAGATGTATATTTACAATATAAAGAATAGTTCTTGTAATTTATAATTTATTTTTCAAATAAAAATTATAATTTTTTTTTATTGTAGTTAAAAAATTTTCTTAACTTTTTAACATCTTAAACATGATTTTTTTATTTTTCAACATTTACAAGTATTAGATGTAATGAACAATAGTTAAAAAATAAATAAATCTTGAATTACATAAAAGCATAGCTAAATTCATTACAAACTAAAAAGACCTCAATACTGTTTACAATCAATATCTTAAAAAGTGTCTTATTTTTCAAAGTGAAGCACATTGCTTGATTTAACGTCAAATATTGCACAAACCTAATTCAATTCTTTTTGTAGTTTGTTTGGTATATTATGACACACTAAACATTTTTTTGTAATATCTTTGTGTGCAGCAGCCAGTATCATACTTGGGTAATGGCTAGACTTTGTAAGTAAAAAAGGCTTCTCTTTGAGTGTTAGGTGTCAACCACATTGCGCAAAAGAAGACTTCACTTATACTTTTATATTTAAAAGCAATTTGTTCAGTTGAAAATAAAGAGCATCAATTTTTTTGTGTGCTGTTTGCAATGAGTGACATGATATGTCACTCATTTTATGACGAGTAATACAAGACATAAGTTGCAAAAAAGTTGAAAACATTTAAAATACTTTAATAATATTTTTCAGCATTGTTTTACTGTTTTACAAAATTTTGTAGGTTTGGTGATTTTCTCTGTAATTCAATTCGTGAGCGTGAACACGAAAACATTATGAGAACCACTGTATCAATTTGGGCACACTTGGATGCAGCAAAAGAGGAGTTTACAAATAAATTATATCAAAAAAGTGAAGAAGTAATATTAAAATAATTAAAAAGAAATATTAGGGAGAGATGTACTGAATGGAACACAATACATTTATTTATAAAAATAATATTTAAATTTTAAATATGGCGGGTATATTACTTTACAAAATTGTTATTTTAAGTAACTATCCTTAAAAGCTGTAAAACATGAAAGTAACGGGTGACAACTAAAAAACAAGACTGGATTTAAAGACATATCTCTTTAAAGAAATAAGATAAAACAAAATGGAAAAATGTTCTAGAAAGTTTTTTTATTCTAGTTTTTAAATATATAATCAGTTGTTCTCAATTAAACCATTTCATCTGACTTTATCAACTAGGCCTGGTATAGACTCAATATCAATTTTATTAAGGCCTGGTATGAGCTCAATATCAATTTTATTAAGGCAATACTTGATTCTAGAACGTAATTTTTTAAGATTTTCTGCATGCCAATTATTCTTGTAGAAAAGGCCTTTCAAAATACTCCAAAAATTTTCGATAGGGCGACATTCTGGCAAGTTTGTAGGGTTATCCGCTTTCTCAACATAATGCATGTTTTAAAAACAAGTAATTATGTACCTTGTTAAGGTACATAATTACTGTTTTTGCATAGTGAGATGATGCTAAATCTGGCCAGAATACATATGCACCATCTGAATAATACCTATTGATGAATGGAATAAGTCTCTTCTTAATATATTTGTTTAAATAGATTTTTTGGTTTACAGCCAGTCCACTTGGTACAAAATAAGGTTGAGAAATTCCATTTTCAGAAAAGAGAGTTTTGGAATCGTCATTTTTTTTCTTGATTTAATATTTGTTCTTTTTTTTAATGTTTTACTAATGTGTTGCTGAGTACAGTTGAACTTTTTAGCTGCCTGTCGTTGAGAAACTCCGTCTTTATGGTCAAACATGAGTTTGAGCCTTTCAATGTTTGTCCTGGTCATTTTTTTTAGCTTTTACTCCACTTCCTTGAATTCTTTGGTACCCAGATTCACGTTCAGCACCTTTAATTATCTTGTAGATAGTACTTTTAGGTATATTCTCAACTTTAAAGTGTTCATAAGTGAACTTTTTACCAGCATTTTTGTAATTTAAATAAAATTCATGCACACATTTTCTAACCTCTTCTTGTTTTGAATTTATTTTTTGATTCATTTTTGTATAAAAAATAAAAATACATAAAATACTTAAAAACTAGAATAAAAATACCTTCTAAAACAGTTTTCCTATTTTTAAAATCTTATTCCTTAAAGGAGATATGTGTCTTTAAATCCAGTCTCGTTTTTTAGTTGTCACCCGTTAGAAAGTTTAAAAAATGCAATAAGCATGATCTGCATTGTTCACTTAACTATTTAGTTGGTTTACTAACTGGACTGGCCTTGTACTGAATGGACCAGCAGTAAATTTGTTTTATGTAATGAATAAAAAGTTGAGTTATGCACAGCAATAAAGTTAATGTTTCAATAGTAAATCATAGTATTTCCTTTAAAAAATTTTAAAAAAAATCATGAAAACCTTGATGTTGAACTTGAATAAATTATTTTTTGATTTAAATATATTCATCATAAATATGATAAATGGGAGTTTAAAAACAAATAAACAGGTTAATTTTTTGACTACAAAATAAAATAAATTAATCGTTTTTAAATAAATTAAGATGTTGTGTAAAGATAATCTAAACAAAAGAGATGTTGTGTAAAGTTAAACCAAGCTTAAGAGATGTTGTGTAAAGGTTAATTATTTACATTTAAATACACATTTCTATTATTTTAGTAGTTTTTATTGTTAAAAATTGTTCAGTTCAGTACAAGGTTTATTCAGTACAACTCTCTCCTAAAAAAATAAAATATACATATATATGAACTAAATACCTATAAAACAAACCAACCTAAACTTAAAAAAAAGTTTTTATTTTTAGGTTTTGTTTCCTGTCTGTAGCTTAAGGCGTCTTCATTTTTGGCAAGAGTATTATCTTCGATTTGATGATGTAGCTTTTTCACCAGGTCTTGGTACGTGGGATGATATTGATGCTTCAAAAGATTTTGATGTAAACAATTTTTTTTTTCATTTATAGTTGTTTTTATGCCATAATAGATTTCTTTCATAGATACAACCCACACTTTAAAATGTCAGTTAATTTACACTCAATTTTGTTGATTTTTATTTCATTACCTCATTGATCATGTTTGATTCAATCAAAATAAGCATTATTATATATATATATATATAATAATTATATATGTATATATTATAACAATATTATATATATATATTATAACATTATTATATATATATATATATATATATATATATATATATATATATATATATATATATATATATATATATATATATATATATATATATATATATATATATATATATATATTAAGGTACTTACTTTTAAGGGAATTTTTGAATATCAACTACCGTTGAAATGTGGGACATTAGTGTTAAAACTAACTTTGGGAAAGAATTAGCCTGATTGGACCACTATTGTGCCTCCCCAAGACCCCTTTTAATTAAAAAAAAAGGTCCAAAAATGACTACATTTGTAAGGCTTGGGGGAGGTAATAATATCAAAATTTTGAACTGATTTTTTTTTATAAGTATTGATGTATATTTTCAAATAAAAAGGGTAGTTAAGGCAGAATATGCCAATTTTTGCTGTTTTATTGTGTTAAAAATCGTAAAAAAATGAATTGTTTTACTCTGAATTTTAATTATAAGTACAATTTAATTTTTTTATGAATGAAGATTTATCTTTAATTGATTATTAACTATTTAAGATAATATAATAGTTCGTTGAAATAAGTTTATTTGATTATCATCATTTTCAAATCATTTTTTCCATTTTAGAAAGTGAGTCAATTAATCTTTTCTTTTTTGTTGTCCTTTTTGTAGCAAATCTAGCTTTATCAACAGTAAGTAGTGGGTTCTGAATTCCTTTTTTCTTTATTGTATCTATGATCAAACTGTTGCATCATTCCTACTGCTTTTTCAGCAGGATCATTTACAACAATTAAAGGTTAAACAAAATCTTTGAATATTCTAAAACTTGATTGTGTGTACCAATCTTTAATCCTTTGTTTATCCAACCAAATTCTATCAAACATCAAATAGGAAAATTGATCAACTAGTAATGATAAACTTGGGGGTTCATTGTAAACTCTCTTTTCTATCCTAATCGTGTTTTTCACTTCAATGAGCTATCGTTGTCAATTTTAAAATAATCAGAGTTTATCATGTCATATTGAAGCATTGAGAGGCAATCTTACTTTTTTCTTCGTTAGAAACGTCTTTATCCAACAAAGAAAGAGGTACAATTGTAGAATCTAGACACCAAGAATGTTTGTAAAATGATTTTAATACTTCTTCAACCGCTTCTGGTTTGGCACAAACCTTTTTGTATAGATGCATATTATATATTGATAAAATATCTAGATATGGTGCTTTGATAGCCTTATCAGATTGCAAATACCATTTTGCATAAAAACATGCTATGAATTCCACCATGATATTTATTTCTTCTAAAAGTAGTTTATCTTCCTGAAAAAATTTAATTTGATTAGAAAGAAGTTCCAATTTTAGATAATGTATGGCTTTTCCGAGGATCTTTCCTTGTGGATCATTATGGTATGTCTAAGATTTGGTGTACCAATCCAAAACACTTTATTAATCTTTTGTATAAAATCATTTTGTTTTTTTTAATCTGTAGCTGATCCTCTTTTTTTATGCTTTTTCAAATTGTAGTTTTTCTAGATTACTTAGATGCTTCCTAAGGGTTTTATCAGAAATTGTTGGAAATTTTATTCCAAGGAGATATACACTTCTTCACTCCAAGGAGCTTTAATCAAAGATTTAATTACTTGCATTTACCATTTTTTACTCTTTTATCTTTTTAGGCATGCAATATAGTATTGATGACTTTTCCGCATTTGTTTTCAGTGTAGCTTTTATGTAGTATAAGTTTTTTAGTATTTTCACTCCAGTTGGAAGTTGAATATCTTAATAGTATAAAAAATCATTTATTGATGTGCATAATATTAATACTTCAAAACTTGATAAAATTTATTTTTTCTCGAAAAGATAATATTATTAGCAATAACGTTGTCATTCTTTATATAAAGTACATGTGTATGCATTAAATTATGCATAAAATGTATAATTTGAATACAAAATAAAGAGTATATAATCATCAATCAATATAATATCACCTGATATAGCTGGATTAGCTTCTCTAATAAAAAAAAAACTTTTTTCTTCACTGAAGCTCTCTTTTTTTATCTATGTTTTTATTTTCTATAATGTTCATCATAAAACCTAAAATACAGTCATAAAACCTGCATAAATGTATAAAAAAATAGTACTTTCAAAAATAAATACTACTGTACTTTCAAAAATAAAATTAGAAAGAAAAACAAAGAGTTCAAACATACCTATAAATTCAAGAAAACTACAAATTCATAAAATTCTTTTCATAAAATTCTATCTACATTGAAAACAAAACTTCGATATGGCAATAATTATTTTGTTTTATTTATTACAATCTAAGTAAGTAAAGTTGCCATACAAATATAAAAAAAATAATAAAGAAAAAGAAAATAATTGATCAAAAATAAAATAGTTTAAAACAAAGTATTTCCTCATTCTTATAATTTGCAGCAAAATAATTCTTTTTTTTTTTTTTTTTTTTGCGATTTTTAATACTATTTAACACAATAAAACAGCAAAAGTTGGCATACTCTGCCTTAACTACTCTTTTTATTTGCGGTAATGCGGTAGTGGTGTAGTGGTAGAGCGCTCGCTTCATAAACGAGTGGTTCCGAGTTCGATCCCCACCACGTCCCTGGTAGTACCGCGCTCAACTCGTTTCTCTGCGCAGCGGCCTTGTTCGTCAAGGTTCGTGTTTCAGAGTTATAGAGTTGAGAGAGGGTTATAGCCACAAAATAAGTAGCCTCCTCGTCTGTAGTGGCCTTCTCGGCCTTGAGGAGGTGAAGTATAATAAAAAAAAAAAAAAAAAAAAAATTTGAAAATATACATCAATACCTATCTTATGAAAAAAAATCCGTTCAAAATTTTGATATTATTACCTCCCCCAAGTCTTTTGAATATAGTCATTTTTGGACCATTTTTTTTTTTTAATTAATAGGAATCTGGGAGAGGTACAATAGTGGTCCAAATAAGCTAATTTTTTCCCAAAGTTAGTTGTAACACCAATGTCCCACATTTCAAGGGGTATTTAATTGAAGTTCAAAACTTTCCTTAAAAGCAAATACCTTAATATATATACACTTATGAAAATGCAGTATTAGATGCACACTGATAATATCATACTGAAATAGGAAGCTTCTGTGACTTCAGTATATATATCTTGGTAGAACATACAAGATAGTGTTGCTATTAGGGTGGTTCTAAAAACAACTTTTTGAAAATAACTGCTGGAACCACCTGAATATTTTGTATATAATAAAAAAATGCTTGATTTAAAAAATTTTTGAATAAAAAATATTTTAAGGGGTTGCTACCGACCTTCGAACAATAAATATTGTCAGGGTCCTTAATATTATTAAAAAAAATGTTTTTTAAAAGTATTTTAAGTAAAAAAATTATTTTTAGAACCACCCTAGCTGCTATGCTCTAACCCAGGAGCATAGCAGATGAGCACTATATATATATATATATATATATATATATATATATATATATATATATATATATATATATATATATATATATATATATATATATATATATATATATATATATATATATATATATATATATATATATATATGTATATATATATATATATGTATGTATGTATGTATGTCTATGTTTGTATGTATGTATATATATGTATGTATGCATGCATGCATGTATGTATGTATGTATATAAAATTTGTTTTTCAATTTTTATTATATTTTGTTTTGCCTACTGGTTTTTGGTTTGGGTGTCTTTCATTATCACTACAATATGATGTGATAAAAAAACTCAAAAAATATTCTAAATTTCTTTCTTTTTAATTATTCTAAAATTATCAACTGTACATAACTAGTGTACATAATTTATAATATAAAAAATGCTGTACAAAACAATTTAGGTGAGTGATAATATATTAACATAATGTTAATTATTTCATTTTTAATTATTACAGTTACATGTATAAGTTAAAATATTATAATGTTTAGAATGAAATATAATAAGTTAGATGTTTTAGGATTCCTTAATTCCTACCAACACAGTTGTTTGGGTTCCAGATGAGCGAGTACGTGAATGTCATGATTGCAAGCAAAAGTTCACAGGAATTAGAAGAAAAGTGAAAATTTTTTCTATATTGATTATTTTTAAATATGCATTTGTTATTAGTTTATTTGTTATGTTTTTTTTATATTTGTTGCTGAAATTTATATTTCATAGTTTAGACAACATGACAAAAGTTAAAATTTTTAAAATCTTAGAAGTAAAGAAATTATTACAAATAATAAGTGACCAAATACACTAACTGTCAAAGGTTTGGGTTCACTTTATTTTTTAACTCTACGTAATTTTCTTTGAAAATTGAAGCTGGTTCCATTTAAAAATAGCATTACATTAATTCACACAACTATTTGTAAACATAGAGTATATGTTTATTATCATTAAAATAATAAATACTTTGGGTATCTTTTGCTATTATAATTGGGTATAGTTTGCTTTAATAATTAGAGATATTTTGTTGTAATATTAACTTAATTTTTTACAGTCTGGTTTTGGATTATTTTTGTACAGAAAGGTAGTTAAAACATTGTGTTAAATGTTGTAACATTTATAGAATAATTGTTATACAAGTTAGAATAATTAAAAGAATTTTGTCCTAGTATTAAACTTGTAAAAAAGTATATACTTTGTATTTTAATTGAAGAAAAATGGCTAAAAAAGTAAAGCTGATTGTAGTAAAATGAGCTTTTATTTTGGTATTACACATTTGGTATTATTTTGGTATTACAAGGAAGGTTATTCAACACAAAAAATTGTTTCAAAAACTGTTTCTCAAAATGCAATCATAAGAACGTTGCAAAGACTGGCTGTAATCAGAGTTGTCTCAGATTAAAATGGACTTAAAGCAACGTGGGATCACAAAAACAAATTTATCTGTGTTCAAAGTAAAAGAAATTGTACTTGAACTGCTCCTGCGCCAAGAACTTAATTCTTTGTGGAAAATGCCAGTATCTGTTTCAACCATAAAACAATATCACAATTACAGCTTGAAAAGATGTCCTGCTGCTAAAAAAAACCATTACGCAAACTTGAAAATACATTATTATTGGATTATTCAAAAATGGTCAAAAGTCTTGTTTGCAGATAAATCAAAGTTCAAAATTTTCTGAGGTAATTGTCGACAATATGTTCATTAATTAATTGGAGAACGCATAATAAAACAATGTGTGATTTCAACAGTCAAGCATAGTGAAGGGTCGATCATGTTCTGGAAATGCTTTGCTGGGAACAAAGTTAGTGACCTGTAAATTAAGGGCATTACGGATAAAAAAAACAACCCACAATGTTCTCAAAGGTCCTCACCAAAAATAAATAGTGGGTTGTCATTTTGTTTTTCAACAAGATAACGATCCTAAATTCATTTCTAAATGCTATCAAAATTATATCTCAGTCAAAGAAAAAAAAAGAACTGATGGAATGGAATGAATAAAATGGAATTAAATAAAATGGAATAGTCTTCTCAATCTTCTGATTGAAATCCTGATTGTTGTGAAGTTAGATAAAAATGTGAGGAAAATGCAACCAACCAATGAAGAACACCTTTGGGTATTTATGCAAACATGCTGGAATCAAATATCAATTGAATCATTGCAGAAATTGATTGCAAGCATGCACAGGGTATGTGCTACTGTTATGAAAAGGAGGAAAACAAAGTTGGTGACTAGTTCCTAGTTTCTTTAAAGAAAAATTTGAAAAAAGTATGGTTATTATATTGTATATACATATGATAAGAAAAATACATATGATAAGAAAATTTTTTTTTTATAAATATATATTATTAAATTTATCAAATGAACCCAAATTTTTGACCATTAGTGCATAATATCTAAAAATTTATCCTTAATTATTAAATCTATTTTCTTTCCTAGTGTACTATTTATCCAGAGTTATAATATAGTGTAAAAAAAAAATTCAAAAATTGGCAAAAGAGAACTTTGTTTTCAAGAAATAAAAATTTGATTTACAATTACTTAGAAAACTTGTATGGTTTCTTAAATCATTTTAAAAATTGACAAAAGTTGTGTGTTGTAGTAACTTTCTCTCTCTCTCTCTCTCTCTCTCTCAGCATAAAGCATAATAAGCTGAGTTTTGTTAGAGTTAAAATTCACAAGCCACTGCAGGGCCCATTCTGTTAAAGAGTTGAGATCAGATGCCTGTTCTAAGCGATCGAAAAAACTTTTTGTCAAGCCAGGAGTATAAAGTCAAGTCATTAGCAAAAAAAGTTTATTTACATGTAAGGTTCTTGGGGGGATCATTAATGTAGGTTAGAAAAACAGAACCAAGGATAGAACCTTGAGTTACCACAGAAATGACTGGAAATGAAGAATCTTCTCCGCCTTCATCTAATGCACAATAAAAATTTTCCATCACAGCAGTAAGCAACTCAGCAGTTTAATGAGAAGATCAAAAACTGTTTTGATTTTCTGACAGTATGTTATTTGACTCCAGATGGAATGATAGAAATGATAGAAATTTATTGATCAAATACTTAAAAACCTTGCTAATATTAGAGAGACTTATTGGATGATAGTTAAAAATGATCTCCATATTTTATAAAAATTGAAACAACATATGTCATTTTCCAGCAGGCAAGAAAACAAGATTCAGTCAAGCAATTATTAAACAGTTTAAAGAGAATTGAAAAGTATTCTGGAGAATACTTTTGTTAGACTATGACAGGATTGTTGTCTAAACCACAAGCTGTAGAAGAGTTTAATTGAGATACGTCTGTTGTAAGACATTCAAATCACTGTTTTTATAGACTGTGTCTATAAAAACAGGAGTGATTTGAATGTCTAACAATGGGTTAACCTGAGAACAATAAAGAAAAAAGTGAAAGGTGATAGAGTAAAGAAGTACTAAGCAAAAACACGTAAAAGAATGGTCAAAAGAATCAAACTTGATTTTTTGATAAATATGTGAATTAATGTGTAAGTATACCCCTAAGCCAAGCATGTGACTATTGGAGAAATGTGAATTTAGAAAAAATCTAGAATTTTTTAAAGCCTGGTGAATTTTGCAAAAAGTAAGATTCAGCTGATGGAATGTTGCTTTTAAGACCAAAATAGTTGTGAACAATTTATTGAAATAGTAAAGTGGTGGGGATGGTTTTTTGATTAGTTTTTTTGGTTGATTTGGGCATGATAAAGTTTAAAGAGAACTTGGCTATTCACAATGAAATATGGCAATTCAAGTATGCAGTTGTCTCAGTTCTGCTATTTAACCCATAGTTGTATCTTGAGGCTTCTTATGAGACCTGAAAAATGTACACCAAATCCATTAACGTGGACACCATCCCTGTGCAATATGGCACTGTTAATACTCTCATATTTTACAGCCTCTCTGAGAGTTACCACAGAGCTTGGGAAACCCTTTACCAGCTGGCCTCAGAACCATTAAACTAAGTTTTAGACCTGTAGTAGGAGATAACAGGAAGAGTTGCATAGCTGCAATCAAGGAGGCACATTCAGAATCTATGAGAAGAGTCAAGAAGATTCAAGTTTAACAGATTTTTTTTTTCTATGAGACTTGTTGTAATATGAGACTTGTTGAATGTAAATGTCTATATTTTTAACCTAAATCTTAAATGTTATAGGGAATTAAAGGCATTTAATGTTTAAAAAATAAAAAACATCTTTGTTTTAAACTGATTTGATTTGGAACTTTTAATATAATTTATATTTTGATTGTGTTTTCTAATTAAAAACAAATTATTTTTTTTAAATAATGAATTTTCAAATATGATAAAATATAATTTCAGTCTAAACTTTGAAATGTAGATTTCTGCAAAATTTAAAAATCTTTATATTTTTTGATTTTAAGTCTTTTTTTTTTCTTTTTTTTAGCACCATTGCAGGTAGGTTTTACAAATGCATGCATATATATATGTATGTATGTGTGTATATATATATATATATATATATATATATATATATATATATATATATATATATATATATATATATATATATATATATATACACATATATAAGGTAATTTTGACACATATATAAGGTAATTTTGATTTGATTTGTTTTATTGTGTCTAGTGTTATGGTTAAACCAAGCTATAAAATTATTAAAATTTTGTCAAATCTAGCTATTAAATAATTAAATTAACAGATTTGTTAATTGGGGCTAAATTAGTTTCAACAGTATTTAACAGCTTTAAAAGTAAATATCTATCATTGGTAGGTTTTTCTCAAAGTTGTAACAAGTAAACGCTTCAACAGAAAAGTTTTTTGAGAACGAAGTTATAGTAAAATAACTTGTCAGAAAAGCATGAAGGTAAATGAAGCATGAAGAAAAACTTCTTTCTGTGAATTTAGGTATTTTTTGGAGTTTGAAAGTTTATAAAAATTTAATCAGACTTAATCAAAATAAAGATTTAAAAAATGTGTTTCCAAGAGTATATAAAAAGAAAAGTACAAAGGATATACCTCAATATAAAAATATTTTTTTAAGAACCTTTCAAACCTAGGGAGTTATTTGCAACTGCAACTGAATTAACTCCTCTAAATCTCTTCAACGTTACAAATCAGACTGGATTGTCAAACTGTGGTGTAAACAAGTTTGTGTCAGCCCGATATTTGAACAACTCATCGTGGCACTGATGATATTGTAAAATGCTGTGTGAGTTATTGTAAAATGCTTGAGATGCTCAGAAAATTTGTAAAAAATAACTTTCCAGCCAAGTTAGATTTTTGATTTGCATTCAGATATTTTTAGCTAAAAGCAACAGCTCAAACTCAAAAAGATTTTAAGAATATTGCAAAAACTTGGGTGTATTAATAAGAACTATAATTGAGATCAGAGGATCAGGATTAAGAAATCAGTGTCAGAATCATTCTGTCTTCTACCAGGTTGGAATTGGTAAAGGTGGTAGTTTCTTGAAAGTCCCTTGTAGAATTCACAACTTATTTTTCCTCCATCTCTTGCAAAAGACTCTGAGGTCATTAATGTGGCAAACTCAGAACATTTGGGTCTATTTAAGTGAACACAAATCTTTTAAAGCTTCAAAAATCAATACCAGGAGAGCTATAGACTTCCGAAATGCTATCATTGAACCCATAATCAAGTTTCTTGATAATACTCTGGTTTTAGATTTTATTTTGACCATAAATTTTTATTTTGTGAAACTGAAAATGGTTTTCGTTATTGAATAAGCATAGTTTAATAACATATCCTGAACACGATGTTAATCTTGTATTGGGCAGGTGAGGCAGGATGAACATCTGGTTGTAAAAAAATTGCTTTAACTCATTTTGTCATAAATAAGAAAATGCTAGTTATGAAATCCATCCAAACCACACATGTGCAGAACCATAGGGGTTAATCGCTAAAAAAAAAATAACATTGTTATTTGTCACAGTCACATGTAAATATATCATTAACATCAAAGCAAATTTTTCATGAGTTAAGGTGGTCACTGTGGGCTAAAGAGAACACTAGGTTTTATGTAGTGTCAATCAAATGAAACCTTTTTTATTCAAAAAAATTTGTCTTATAACAATAGAAAAGAATTAAAGATCTTCTTCCTGCTCTAGAGTATGTAAAGGTTAATGCTATATTAAACTCTTTTTCCATTAACTAACTATAGAGTTGTTCTTGATGTTCGGTATTTTTACATTTAAACTTATTCCTATCAACCTAAGATTCCCTCCATCAGTTGTGAGAAGTGCATTCTAAATTTAAATGTAAATGGAATATATTTAAGCGTTAAGAAGAGTATACTGAACAACAATGATTTTATCTGTCGTCATAGTTTTTTCTAAAAAAATTTATATTTAAATTTAGAAGTCTATATAATCTAAACCAATGAGGCTAATTCGGTAATGGTGTAGTGGTAGAACGCTTGCCTCATAAGCGAGAAGTTCCGAGTTCAATCCCCACCACGTCTCTTGTAGTACCGCGCTCAACTTGTTTCTCCGTGCAGCGGCCTTGTTCGTTGAGGTTCGTGTTTCGGAGTTATAGAGTTGAAAGAGGGTTGTAACTACCAAAGTAGCCTCCTCAACTGTAGTGGCCTTCTCGGACTTGGAGAAGGTAAATATTTAAAAAAAAAAAAATTCAATTTGATTAATTTTAGTAATTATTTATTTTTATTGTGACGCTTAAAAAAAGCTTTTCATAGACCACCTTAAAATATTTGCACATTTTTCAGACGTTAACTTTACTATGATCAGAATTTTTTTTCCACTCATATTGATGATTTGGTTGTTTGAAAAACTAAGCTTTTGATAACGCTAAACAATGTATAAATGCTCGTTCTATTATGTCCTTTTCTGTTAAATATTATTTTCAATTTAGACCAAGCTGCATGAGTTTTTTTTTCTTGGATAAATTATTTAATTTTTTATTTATAAAATTTTTGCAGATAAATAATTTTTTATGGTTAATTAATAAATAATTTTTTATGACATATAAGTTAAATATGTCAACAATGATATAAACAGAAAAAAAAATCTTTGTTTCTTGTATTTTATTACTATTTATATATTCATGATAAACAACTTTCACAAATGGAATTTTGTTTGAAATTTCAAAAATGTTAATGCATGTTAAAAAATCTTACAGGAGGTAGAACACTTTTTCAACATGAAGCATATCTATATATGAATTAGTGTTTTTTAAAAGGGCGGATTTTAATAAGGGTGGATTTGATCGAAACGCTTTAAGCAAAACCACCCTTTTAAAAAACACTGATTCAAATTTATCTATCCTATCACTATTCATGATATAAAACACGAAACAATTAAATAAATTATTTCTTTACTACACATTCTTTTTTCACATGCACATGTTTTTTTGCGTAAATTAAATAATAAAAAAAAATACATTGATTTGTTTTTATTATCTAATTTACCCAAAAAAACATGTGTATGTGAAAAAACAGTATGTAGTAAAGAAATAATTTAATTGTTTCGTGTTTTATAACATGAATAATGATAAGATAGATAATTTGAATCAGTGTTTCGGGTGGTTTTAAGCTATTATATTTAGAGCTTGTGGTCAAGTATTTTGTGGTAGTTGCACGCGTCATCGTATAAAACTCCCATTCCTTGGCTATAACTTACCAGAAAGAGTTTGTGATGGATGTTGGTTGAACACGTCAAAATCTGGCAAAGAAGAGGAGGTATGAGAGACTGGTAAAATAAATTTTAACGCCCTTACTTTGACTTCCCCAACAAATTAAGGAGGTCGAAACAAACATTTAAAATGTTATTTTCTGAGTCACATTAAGAAAACCTTGATAAGGTAATGTTTTTTTGACACCCTCAATATGTTTTTTGTTTAAAAATGACTTTTGGATTTAAAAATTACCTCAAATTATTTCTAGTGGTTGTACATGGCTCTTTAATATTTGATTAAACTTTTACATTAAAATATTTCTTCCTACGTCTACTAGAATCTCAATTTTTTTTTTTTTCTTTTTTTATGTTTTTTTTGATTTAATTTAGTATACCTACTTATTTAGGTTGAAGACTATGAAATTATAACATCAGACATTACACAACGGTGCGTTTAACTTCAAACATTACATACTGACATATTTAACGTCAGACACTACATACCGATGTATTTAACTACAAGGCAATTAAACTGCATGAAGATGTATATATTTTTTGATTTGATATAGTTTCATTTGTAATTATTTTCATAGAAAACTTTATTAAATATCTATTTTATAAAATACTATTTTTGAATTTTTTTGAAAATAACTGATCTCATATTATTACGAACATTTGTGTTTGTGACAAATTTTATTTAACAGCTGAACTTGAACAAAATAGATCGACATTATTTTTTTTTTTCGATACATTTTTGTCTCTATAAACTAATTTTAATTTTTTATTTTCTTGTTTTTAAACTTTATCCCCGTGATTTTTTGTGTAATAATATTTTTTATATAATCTGGAGGTTTTATACGTTTATTTATATTTATTCCGATGTTTTTTCATTTAATATATTTCTTAATCGTTTTGGTTTTGATTTCATGTTTATATTTTAGTTCGGAACATAAATTCTCCATTTACAGTATTACATAAATAGTATTAATAGTGCACAGTGACCTAAAGGTTAGCAAAAAGGTCGAAATTAATGATCATCTGCTATTGGAATGTAGAGTTTGCTTTTCTATAAACACGCTAGAAATCAACTCTGATTTAAAGTAAAGTACATTGTATAATAAAAAGTTAAGCCGCGGCACCCTGTTTTCAAACCAAGTCAGGCCTAGGGTTTTGTATCTTATATCGTGCACCATATTTTGAGAATAGAATTTTCAACTAAAATAGAATAATATAAGCTAAAAAAAATTAAAAAAGGCTGCCAGGATGGTCAACAAAAAAGTTTTGTTTACCCCTAAAATAAGGAGATATTTTACACTTAGGAGACATTTTACACCACAGTCGCTGAATGTAGTTAACATCTGCCCAAGTATTGCCAGATTTTACTTACCTGACAGCCCCTTAGTCAAACTAATACTTATTTGTTTAATTTTTATTGGGGATATTAATGAGCTTAAAGATGTTTTAACGGTCTTGTCACAGTGCATCGCAAAAGCGTAAAGAAAGTTAATACTGCCTTTCATTCCGATTTCACAAATAAGACCACAGCACACCCACATAAAATTATTATTTCTAGATTTATATTTGTTTATTGGTCTCACAAGAACTAAACAATAACTTTTTCCACTTATATAGTAAGCATAAAACATTGAACACGTAATGGCGTCCCAAGCAGCCTTTATTTCATTTTGTTGTATTTCTTTGTACATGTATTGGCCCATTGTCCCTTGAATTCTATACAACGAGCCCACGTTACACCATGAAAAACAATTCTAAACAATCACCTTGCCACCATTATGTTTTACAGCACATTTTTTCAAAAACGTAACTCCTTGACGTACGTACTGTTTTGCAAATTTTAAACGGCTGACGAGATTGTGTTTTGAGACCAATGGTATTTTTTGGGCAACTCAATTAGCTTACTTTCGCGTAAGCGACTTTTGAAAGTGCTGAATGACAGATTGACTTGTAAGTTTTGAGCGATTTAATCTTTAGTTTTTGGTGCGCGAGCAAAAGGATTTAGCTTAGCGATACGGGCAATGGCTGCGTCTTCTCTGGGGGTTGTCTTTTGTTCGCAAGACTTGCAGTATTGTTAATATAAATTAATAGCATTGATAACTTTTTTACGAGAACAACCCAATCTTTGAGTTATTTAATTGTTGATCTCGAAATGCCTGTACTTGTCCTCGAAAGATATCTGTTTCATGTTTACCTCGTCCTATATTTAAAAGAATATGATTTTTGCAAAATGAATTACAAGTTTATCCTTAAAGTATTGAGTATAATGATTTTTTTTTGATATAATACAAGAAGTTTGGTGTTTTTTTTAAGAAAAAGTAAATGTTTACTATTTAAAATGATCTCAAAAATTTAAACGCAACCGCTAAAATGCTCAAAACAAGCAATTTTTATAGCTATAAATGTTTAATGAGTTGTTCCGTTCAAATAAGTAAACATTGTTGATGCTATAAATTTTTTTTTTTTGCCAAATAATTATATTAATAATACAAATTTTAACATATCACAAATTTAGCGGCAGGACTTCTAGAAGATCATGAGGATCTTATCATGAAGCCCTTTACAATCCTTTTTAGTATCGAGTATAATATAATATAAAAACGTAATATTATAATGAAGTTATAAAAATTCGTAAAATAACAAAAACAATATAAAGTTTAACAAAACACAGTAATAAAAAGCAATAAAATACAAACATAAAATCCATTAAATACATAAGTTTGCAAAGAACTCATGGAAATATTCGTAAATAGTAAAACATAATACAATAAATTCTAATAATAAGTCACCAATAATGATAAAAACTCAAAAATAGATAAAGATGTTTTCAATTGAAAAGATAATTTCTTTAATTTTGGTTTTGGATGAAGAGTAATTTAATTTGAATCAAAAGTCAAAATTAGGTAAAACTATTTTGTTCCAAAGAAGAGGTCCACGATAGGACATACAAAATTCGTTGTATTTAGTTTTGCAAAAAGGAGCATTAAGATTGTTGTCAATTCGTAAATTACATTTGTTTTTCGGTTTTAAAGAATATAGATATTGAAATACCTGTGGAGATAAATTTTCTTTACACTTGAACATAAAGCATAAAATATTAAAAATATTAAGTTGATAAACATTCAAAGCTTTCATATCTTTAAGAAGTGGCGCAGAGTGTGTAAGACAATTTTTAAAATTAATTGCGCAAGCTGCGTGTTTCTGATGATTAAAAAGAGTTTTAAGTTTTGTCTTTTGAGTGCTTCCTCGTATAATATTTGCATAGTTTATATGACAGTGAACAAATGAATAGTTTAATTGAGTCAGCTGCCGTTTATTTAATATGTTTCTAGCTTTATAAAGAATACCAATGCATTTGGAAACTCTAGAAGAGATAATGTTAATGTGATGTTTCCAAGTTAAATTTTCATCAATATAGATTCCAAGAAATTTTGTTACTTTTTCTCTATATATCATTACATTGTCAATATATAGTTCAGGTAACAAATGTGGTATTCTATGTTTTTTATAGAGTGGATAAAAAAGTGTCCATTTAGTTTTAGCAGTGTTGAGAGACCTATTTATTTTAAACCAATCAGAAACTTTTTTTAATTCATTTGTCATGTTGTTGCAAAGATATGAAAATATTAATATTTTCATGAGATAGAAATAAATTTGTGTCGTCGGCAAAGATTATTTTTGTTAGGCTTGAAGTTTTATGAAGATCATTTAGATAAGAGGTCCAAGTATGGAGCCTTATGGAACACCACACGTTATATTCATTAACACTTGAGACGAGGATTCTTGTTTATAAACATATTGCTTACGATTTGTAAGATAGCTTTTTAAACAATTGAGGGTGTTATCTTTTATTCCATATGATAATAACTTTTTTATTAGAATTTGATGGTTGATGGTATCAAAAGCTTTAGATAAGTCAATAAATACTCCTAATGTGAAATGAGATTTTTTATCTCATTTCACATTAGGAGTATTTATTGACTTATATAAAGCTTTTGATACCATCAAAAGCTTTATATAAATCAATAAAAATGATCAGATACATCTGTTTTAATTATTCCTTTTTTAAGCGATATATTAAAAAAGTTAGTGGTTAAGATATTGTCAATTAAAGTGGATGAATAATTTGTAATTCTTGTTGGTCGATTTATTATTGGTATTGTTCCTGTTTTAAATAAATTGTTGTAAAATTTTGTAGTATTTTGATTTTCGTAACAATCAAAACAATATAAATTAAAATCACCAATCAAGTAATTTATTTTATTTTCGAGATTAGTTTTTTCTAGAAATTTCTTTTGTAAAAAATTGCTGAGGTCTTCAGTACTTCCAGTTGGAGGCAACAACAGCTTATTAGCAGGTTTTTTGATTTTTTTGTTAATAATTTTAATAGTTAAAATCTCTTTATTTTCATCAGAAACACTCATATCGCGTCTAACATTATACAAAAGACTATTTCTTGAAATAAAGAGATTTTAACTATTGAAATTATTAACAAAAAAATCAAAAAACCTGCTAATAAGCTGTTGTTGCCTCCAACTGGAAGAACTGAAGACCTCATAGACTATTTCAAAAAAAAGTAAAGACCTTATTAGACTATTTCATAAAAAAGTACTCCTCCTCCACGCTTATATATATTTTGCTATAAGGTAATTGCATTAAAACCTGGGGAGTTGGAGGTTTGAATTATTCTCAAAATCCTCGTTAGAAGACCACGTTTCAGTTACGCAAATTAAATTAAAAGAATTATCAGTTTCGCAAATGACATTTAAAAAAATTTCAAAACTCTTTTTTTAACTCCTTTCAAACAACGTTCAAATAACTATTAATGTTATCAAATTTTAGAAAATATTTATCTTCATTTGGATGAAAATATTTGCATTCAAGTTCTGATGTATTAATTTCGTTAAAATAGTTTAAATCAGGATCAGATCCTTCGTTAAAATTTAAAACGTTTGTTTGAAATCATTAGAATTATTTGAATCCATATTAAAGAATAATAAATAACATATTATATGAATATATAAATAGTTCATTTAAATATCACGTGTATAAAGTTTGTTATTTAACTTTAGCAAATTTACCTTTAGAACGTAACTCTTTTGCTTCGGCAAAAAGCTTTTTCCTAACTTCTATCGTCCGTTCGCTAAAATCTTCGTTTATGTAGATTTTTTGGTTCCAAAGTTTCAGATTGATGTAATTTTCCAATATCGTGCTTTGTAATTTAAGAATTTGACTACTATAGGCCTGTTTCTGGGTTTATCTGATTCTTTTCTTCCTACTCGGTGGGCTCTCTCTATATCTACATTATACTTAATGCCAAGCTTAGATTTAATAAATTCTTGGACTTTTTTCTCGCTTTCTTCCCATGATTCATTATCACAGTCTTCGATACCGTTGATTCAAAAATTGTTTCTTCGACTGCGATCTTCTAATTCAGCCAGTCTATTAATAATAATATCATCTTCTTCTAATTTCTTCTTTTAATTGCCTAGATTACTTATGTCGTTTTTTTTTTTTTTTTAATTGGCTACTTTTTTTTTTTTTTAATTGGCTACTTTGATTTTGTCATTTAAAAGTTTAATTATTGTATTTTCATGTATATCCAATAGTTCTTCAATTTGGGTTATGGTAAAAATTTTTATAAAATATATATATATAAACTTCTAAAGCATGGTGTTACAATGATTTTTATTTATGAATTTGATCCATAACAACTCTTTATTCCAATAATAAAATAAAAAATATTTCTTTTTTTCTGTTTTAGGTATATTCAGATAAATATTTCATTTAATGTGATAAGTAGTCGCATTAAATAGAATTTAATGCGACTACTTATCACATTAAATGAAATATTTATCTGAATGTACCTAAAAAAACTGTCTAAAAAAAATGTTATTACTTTTTATTTCATTAGAACAGGCAACATATCTTAAATCTTATCTCTCTTCAGTGAAAACTTAGGGCTTGCAGAAGCTATTGAATTTTAACAGCAACAACATCAAAAAACTCCTAATATTTATCTCAGTATTGTTAGCATTCCTATATTGATGTAAGGCAACATACTTTACGTTTTCTCAGGCTATCATTCACTACTGAACTCACATGGGCATTCAGTTCATTGTAAAGATAGCATCTACTAAAGTTGTCTCTCTAAATCTCTAATTTGTCCTTTTATGAAATACGTTTGTCTAATTCTTCTAATGAGGCTCTCAGATTCTTTTAAACATGGTCTAAAAACGGATTGTAAATGTTTTTGGGCCTGCTATAGCAGCTTATAAGTTTAAGCTTCTGCCTTATCATAGTCAGATCGTATCACTTTCACTTACGGCAAGGTTGCATCTCTTTCACTTTTCAACAAATAATATTGTTGTTGCTATTCAAGTCAGACATCGTCACTTTTTCCATCAACCAAAAGTCATCACTTATTCCATCAGTTAGAGCTCAATATTGCGTAACTTGTCATTGAGCTAAGTCATACTCTTTTACTGTAACAGTTCCTAAATGCGCAAAAAATCTTTTTTTGATTGAACATCAATACTTTAGAATTACCTCCAGTCTGTCAACATTACTTGTTGTTTGCAAACGGGTTGGCAATGTTTACAAAAAAATAAAAAAATTAATAGGTAGAGCAAAAGATTAAAAAACTGATTGTTTATTGCAAGATCGAATCTAGCAATAATTGGATTTTGAGATTTAAGTTTTCACAGAAAACATTCGGTCTATAAAATGTTTTTTAAGCGTATAAAAAACGTCTAATACGTTTAAAAACGTATTAAAAACGTATTTATATAGACCAATTGTTTGCTAGGTAACTTCCAGATATTTCTTTTCATGGCATACAATTGCCCAAGTTTCCAGATGCTCTTTAATAGAAACCGTAGAGCAGATAAGATAATAGATATTTGGATAAAGATCTTCACTTAATTGGAATATACTGCAACCATTACTGAGAGGTTTACCATTAAACCTCAATAAATTTCAAAAGGTAATTATAACAAAAAAGAAGCAAATGTTTTTTTTTAGAACTTTATAAAGTTAACTGACTTAAAAAATGTTGGAAAGGTCAATAAAATCTGCCAGAAACAACAACCTGATATTCAAGAAATAAGACGAGCATTAACGATGCTTTTGAGACGGAGGCGCCATGTCAATAGCACCGTTAATACTCGTCTTATTTTATTTTCATATATGAAAATGTAAAATATTATCATCTATTGTCGTCCAAAGAATATTGCCCACTTATATATAACTTGTATAGCATAACTGGTTTGAATTTGCATAAAATACTTGTTAATTTACTTGGAATAGAATACACTAAGTGCTAAAAACAATTGTATGATAAAATTTGAATTTAATTTTTTATCTTGTAAATTAAAACTATTTATATTAAAATTATGAACTACTTTACTTTATAAAATTAGCAAAATTGCGTAGTAAGATGATAAAGTTTTATCAAAATTGCGTAGTAAGATGATAAAAGAACATTTACTATTATAAATACTGCTTAAACAAAAGAAAAACTGAATCTATTTTTTAGAAAAATTGATATAGAATACAAGATTTTTTGAGGGCAAAATTACATCAAAATAGTCACAGCTGATGCATAGGCGTCTTGAAGAGATCTCAAAGGTGTGTGTGTGTGTCTGGGGAGGAGGGGGGGGGAAGGCGTATGCCAACTTCAGTGCCTCTAATTTGCCGACTGATTAATTTCTTAGAAGGATTAGACAGGACAGCCCTGCAGCTAATCTCTGCAATCGAATACTATATAAATAATTATAAAACATATCAACAATCGAAATAATAATAATAATAAACATATAACAATCAAATAATATAATAATCGAAATAATAATAATAATAAACATATAACAATCGAATACTATATAAATAATTATAAATAGTTATTAAACTATAATTAATAACTATAATAAGTAACTAAAATAGATAATAAATACAAATATAATAAATAACTGTAATAATTAGTATACCTAGAAAATTTTGCAATTCAATTTTTTTAACGTTTATAATCATAATTAAAATAGATGGTATTGAGGTTTATCATTACAAAAGACTTTAATCAAATTGAAAGACGCCTTAATGCGCTATGACCATTAATTTTTACAAAATCATCTTTTTCAATAAAAATTGAACTAAAAACCAATCAAAACTGTTTTTTAAATTCTGGCGAAATATTTCGAAAAATCAAAACACAGTTTTAGTGTTAAACGGTTGTTTTTATTGTACTACTATTGTTTTTTCTTATCACTTTATAATTTTATATCGATATTATGTTATGTAAAAAACAAAAAAAATACATTTTTCATATTGGTCAATATATTGTTTGTAACATAATATAAAATAAGATTTTTATTACATATGTTATTTTTTGCATAATTTAAAGTAATAGTTAATCAAAGGATCAATTAGTACAATGTCATCCTGGAAAAAAGACACAAAATTATTTGACTCAGAGCTTTTAAACAGCAGTATCAACAAAAATTACACCCAAACAGAAAAAAGCAATACCCATGCACGTGCTCTTTTTAAAGGTGATAAAAGATTGCTTGATAAAGGTTTTAGTGGAACTAAAGTACTAGAAATTAAAAAAGAAAAAGCATCAACAAAAGTTTTAAAAAAAGATACAAGGTATGAAAGTGTTTATAAAGAAAAAGGTAAAACATCCTTTAAAGATTCCAATAATATTGGAAACTCAGTACTAGAAAGTAAAAAGATATGTTCTTTGTCAAACAATCATTCAAATTCAAATGGATTGGTTAATGCAGAACTTCCTGAAAATATTATACATGCTGATGGTAATGATGACTCTTCAATATCTGTTGCTGTGAGATTGCGTCCCTTTAACTCCAGGTTTGTTAAGCTTACAATATTATCTTTGTTGAGCCTTACAATTAGAGCCGTGGCTAGGTTCCCCCACACCCTTTAATTGAAGGGGAGGGGGCAGGAGAGCCCAGCAAATTTTTGGGCCCTTCTTGCAAATGTAAGGAGCTTTTTTTTTTTCTTTCAAAAACGCCTAATGGGAAATATTTAAGATTTCGGGGCCCTAATAACAGGTTTTAGAGGGCCTTGGATCCAGTAGGCATGGTGCTGCTTACAATATATATATATATATATATATATATATATATATATATATATATATATATATATATATATATATATATATATATATATATATATATATCCATATATAAATATATATATATATATATATATATATATATATATATATATATATATACACACATGTATATATATACACATGTATATATATATATATATATATATATATATATATATATATATATATATATATATATATATAACTCTATTTTTTTATATATAATATATATATATATATATATATATATACATATATATATATATATATATATATATATATATATATATATATATTTATATATATATATATAAAAATATATATATATAAATATATATATATATATATATTTGTATATATATATATATATGTATATATATATATATATACATATACATATACATAAACATAAACATAAACATATATATATATATATATATATATATATATATATATATATATATATATGTATATATATATATATATATATATATATATATATATATATATATATATATATACATATACATATACATATACATAAACATAAACATAAACATAAACATAAACATATATATATATATATATATATATATATATATATATATATATATATATATATATATATATATATATATAAATATATATATATATATATATATATATATATATATATATATATATATATATATATATATATATATATATATATATATATATATATATATATATATATAGTAAGGACCAGGACCTTCAGACATAGCAGGGGCCCGGGGTGAAAAATCCCCCCAACCTCCCTTGACAGTCTTACTGGTTGAGTGCTATACTACCTTAGGACTTGGTGGGAATCAAATTCAAAACTTTTTCCTTTTGAAGCAAGTGCTCTACCTCTACACCTTTGTCGGATATATATTTATATGCGGTAGTGGTGTAGTGGTAGAGCTCTTGCTTCATAAACAAGTGGTTCCGAGTTCAATCCCCACCACATCCCTGGTAGTACTGTGCCCAACTTTCTCCGCGCAGCGGCCTTGTTTATCAAGGTTCGTGTTTCGGAGTTATAGAGTTGAGAGAGGGATAACCACAAATAAGTAGCCTCCTTGTCTGTAGTGGCCTTCTCGGCCTTGAGGAGGCCCTTGAACTAAAAAAAAAAAAAAAAAAAAAAGTATATATATATCTTTAGGCCAGCAATTAAGTCAATGCCGATCCTGATTTCAAGAGCTGATATATATATATATATATATATATATATATATATATATATATATATATATACACATATCAGGGTGTAAACTAGCCCGTCAAACACGGTATTCCCAAATGCTCATAAAATTAAAATTCTCAATTTAAAAGTGAAAAAATCCTATTCTCTAAGTAAAGTTTGCCAAATTAAAGTTTAACAATAATTCTAAAAATTATTAAAAATCAATTACTATTAAAAATTAATAGAAAAAAAACATAAAAAATTATAATTTATTGTTTAAAACTTGAAATAAAATTGCCGTTATTGGTATAACTATGCACTTGCATAACTGCAAAATTGTCTCTTGGAAATTTTTTTTTCGAGAATTGAGATTTTCTGAAAATCTCTAAAATCGCTCAGAAAAAAAAACTCTCAAAAATTTCTCAATATTTACAAAAATTTTTTTGCAATGCGTTCCAACAACAGCAAATATTATAATAAAAAAGTAAGAAAGAAGTAAAGTACAATTTAAAAAATTACAAATTTGTTTGGTTTAACACACACATATGATTTTTCTTTAAAAGTTTTGCCCTTTTTTTAATATTTTATTTTTTTATTTTATTTTTATTTATTTGAGTTTCATGCTATATTTTTCTATACAATGTTCTTATATCCGAAGATATTGTTGGCTTAGCATAGGAACAGCCACAAATAGTCATTAAGACTAATCCAAAGCGTCCGTTATTGAACAACATTTTTGTGTACCGAAGTACTACTCAAAAGCTGAGTTGGCGGTGGCGGGATTTGAACTCGTATTGTTCAACAGTCCGGATTTAAACTTTTCCTTTGATGCTCTAACCATCTGAGCTATCCCGCCACACATCCCGCCATAAATAAATAATTTGTGATTATAACAAACTGGTTCTAGAAATTTATTTAATGAAGAAAATAGATTTTTTTACTTTACTGGTTGCTTATACTTAAAACATAAATTAAATACGTTTAATAACAAGAATGTTTTTTTTTATTACAACAAACTGGTACTGGGTCATTCCATGTCAACTCAACCAGTGATGTTCACCACACCATCTCAGATCTTCCTGAAATTTTTATGGCTTGTAGTACATACAAAGTTAAGCAATTGCTGAATATTTTAGGCCCTTTGGTCAAAAACTTTCTGAGATATGATTTTTTAATATAAGATATGATTTTGGTGTCTTCCCTCCTTCTTTCAAATGAATTTTTTTGTTTAATATTTTATTTAGGTATTTCATATTATTAATATATAATTATTAATTTTTTTTTTTTAATTATATTTTTTTTAGGTATTAATTTTTTTTTAGGTATTACATTTTAGTATATTTACATTTATAAAAATATACTAAAAGTTTTATTGAATTATGAGAAAGTAGCATGTAAATTTGTATTTTTTTTTGGTTGAATTAGTATGGAATGTTTTTATAAAAATATCTTATCACATTTTTTTTATATTTGATATAGATTCAATATTTACTGAATATGGCTGAACTGCCATTGTGCACATTTGTACTGTTGCATCAAGATGAATGCCACAAGACAGTTCATACACACAGGCTTGATTAACCTGTCAGAACTATCCGGTGCTAACTTTGAATTGTTGATGTTAAGAACCAAGTCTGTTGATCAATTACAAAGAGAGAACTGCAATATATACTTCCACCACGAACAGGTTCTACTTGAAAAATTGATAAATTTTAGCGGAGTTGTTGTGATCCATTCAAAAAACATCAATGCAAAGTCACTGAGGGCAGTCAGTATTGACAAAACCAAAGAGCACTAACAACTAACACTAACAACTGGGAGACACATCAAACCTGGTGAGAAGCAATGCCCAAGCTGTTGAAAGTACAATACATCCCAGGAACCTGAACAGAGTTATGGACATTCAGCTAGTGATACCAATATAGAAGACGTTGACTTGCATCTTTCTCAACTAAATGACAGTATAACAAGTATTGGCTGCACACCAGTTAAGCTTCATGCAAGGCCTGTTCGAAGTAGAATTTCATATGCCAAACGTAAAATTGCAACTGCAACAACAGAGATCCAGAAGAAAGTAAGCAAAGTCATCCAAGTACCTTTTAATCTACTTGTGAATGAAGGTGATGCTACAGAATGTGATGGTTGCAATGACTTAACAAAACTAGTGACTGAATTAAAGATTAAGTACAGTACAGCTTCCAGGCAAGAAAAAATTAAGATGGTAACACTAGCACCATCTAGCTGGAGCCAACAAAAAGTCTCACAGGAATTTGGAGTAACTAGGCATGTTGCTAAGCAAGCGAGAAAACTGAAGAAGTCATGTGGAATTTTTGGCATACCCACATAAAAAACATGGCAATGTTCTCCCAGATGATGTGATTGAAAGTGTACGTAAATTTTTTGAAGATGATGAAATTTCCCGCATGTATCCAGGTCAAAAGGAATTCTTGTCAATCAGAATTGATGGTGAACGTGTTCATAAACAAAAACGTCTTCTAATTCTGAATCTTAAGGAGATGCATGTAGAATTCAAAAAACGAACTGCAATGAAAATTAGGCTTAGCAAGTTTTGTTCACTGCGACCATCATGATGCATTACTGTTGACTTGAGTGGTACCCATGCAATCTGTGTCTGTGAGACTCACCAAAATTTGAAACTTGCAGTTGCAGCACTGCCTGTTACAACTGATTATAAGGACTTGCTTCTGAAGGTTGTTAATTCAACTGAGAATCCAGAATGCATGTTGCATCGTCGTTCTATTTGTCCTGGTATTGATGAACTGAAATCATTTCTTGAACAGCTATTTGATGAAGTTGGTATGGATTTAGATGACATAATCAATTACAAGCGATGGACCCACGATGGTCAGTCAAAGCTGCAATATGTATGTGAGACTGTTGCTGACTTCATTACTTCACTTTGTACTTCCACTGATAAAACAACGGATCATCATTTCACGGCCAAGGCACAGTCATCCTACTTATGTCATCTGAAGGAGTGTTTGCCAGTAAGAACAGCAGTTGTGTTGCTGGATTTTGCAGAAAATTATTCATTTATCTGTCAGGATACAGTGCAAGGCTTCCACTGGGAAACATCACAGGCCACATTGCATCCATTTGTTTTGTATTATCGTGAGCTACCCAGCAATAACCTATGCTGCTTGTCTCTTTGCATTATAAGTGATGACCGTGAACATGTAGCAGGTACAGTCCAGGAGTGGAATTTTTTTGCTACCAGTCATGGAAAAAGTCTTTATGATGGTATTGGTGAAACAGTAAAGAGGCTAGTGGCAAATGCAAGTTTACAGGCAACTCTGCAACATCAAATACTAACGCCACATCAGATGTATGATTGGGCAACCAAAAACATTCCAGGAATTAACTTCTTTTTTGCAGCAAAAGATGACGTCGAGGTGCATTGTAGCTGTTTGGTTGAACGATTTGCTTCAATTCAAACTGTTCTTGGCACACGGTCACACCACTGGTTTGTGGCAGTAAGTGAAAATAAACTGAAGATATTCAGGTTGT